GTTTAAGCGTTTTTATTTTATTTTATATTTTTATTAGGTACTTATAAATGTTTATTTAGTTTTTACTACCTAAATTTTTAGATTAAGTAGTATATTTAATTTACTCACAAGGCAATCGCTGTTACGACGGTTTTGTCTTGATGCGTAAGATAAAGTTGCCGGAATGACGGTGGATTGGTAAAACGGTCGTCGCTCGAAGTTAGAAAGTCGTCGGCCTCCGCGCCTGCGCTCGCGTCCCCCATACCCGGCTCGTCACACGTATCAATGCACTCTCAAGCCTCAGTAAATAGTAAGCGGTGGAATTTTAATAAAGCCAATTTTAACCAATTGTATCACCTGTTAGCTATGATGGACTGGAGTGAAATGTACACCTTAGATAACTTGGACGAATCATGTTTATTTTACAATAAAATTTACGAGTATTTTGATAAATGTGTCTCTCTAAAAAAAGAGTAGTTTGATGACGAGCACATACATATACCTGGTTTGGTATACTGCTGACATTATTAGGTTTATAAAACTAAAGCACAAATTTCACAAACGATTCAAATCGAGCAAACTGCGCAGTGATTACGAAGAGTTCTCGCTATATAGGGCTATAGTTAAAACTGAAACTGAGAGAGCGCATAACCAGTATAGAGACCGTGTGCAGGGACATTTAACATTGGAGCCTAAAGCCTTTTGGGAGTATATAAGATTGAGGAAAGGTACATCAGGAAGTAGGAAATTATTTAAGGACGGGAAGGTTTTATCAGATAGTGAGTGCGCTGGAGAATTCGCAAATTTTTTCCAGTCCGTATACAGCCGTGAGACACCTTTGTTAAGCGTAGCGGTGGCTGGTGCTGTGCCGGAGGGAGCAGCGTCGGGCGCGTGAGCTCAGCTCGGGCGTTTGCGATCAGCTGATGTTTTGCGTGCACTGTCGCACCTCCCCCTCGAAGCGCTCGGTCGGACCAGATGGTATAACAGCCTTCCATATTTAGAGACTGTAGGAGTGTACTAGTGAAACCATTGTTACATATTTTTAATGTATGTATTGAAAGTGCTACGTTTCCTGATCAATGGAAGCTCACTAGAGTTGTGCCTGTACCGAAAGGTAGTGGGGGATCGACGCCAAGTGACTGTAGTCACCTGTGAGAGACCCGTGGCAGTCTTAAGCACTCCAGCGAAAGTGTTCGAGACGGCCATTTACAACTGTCTGTACCCACAGATTAGTGCACAGTTGTCCGACGCGCAGCACGGCTTCCGCCCTGGGCGGGGGACAACTGGGAACTTACTGGAGCTGATGACGCATCTAGTACCCGCGGTTGATGCTGGCCTGCAGGTGGACGTAGCCTACTTTGATTTCAGAAAGGCTTTCGATACGGTTGACAATGATGTGTTACTTTGTAAGTTGGCTTGCGTGGGTTGCACACCTCGCACGCTATCATTTTTCGCCAGTTATCTGCGAGACCGGCATCAGTTTGTCGATTACAATGGGCACTTTTCTCCACCGTACTCTACTAGATCTGGTGTTAGTCAGGGCAGCAATCTAGGACCTTTGCTGTTCATTTTAATGATAAATGAATTGCCAAATGTACTCAATTTTAGTACTCCATTATTGTTTGCCGATGATCTAAAATTAGTTTTAGAAATTAGAGATAAATCTGATGCTGTTTTTTTACAGCATGATATTGATAAAGTTTTAAGATGGAGTATTGATAATAAACTTTTCTTTAATGTCTCTAAATGCTCAGTACTGTCCTTAAGCCGCTCACGCGCTCCAATCCATCACCAATACGTGATGGATGGGAAACTGCTTCATAGAGTTAAGGAGGTTAAAGATCTAGGTGTACGTTTCACTGCAGGCTTACATTTCGGATTACATGTAAGTAATGTTTGTATAAAGGCATACCGTAACCTCGGATTGATAATGCGCCTCGCAAATAATTTCACAAACGTCAGGGCTCTCAGAGCGCTATATGATGCACTCGTAAGGAGCCACTTAGAGTGTAACGCCGTCATTTGGGCTCCTTTAGAAGTCAGCGGATCCAAAATAAATTTATTAGATTTATGTACTTGAAACTATTTGGAATATACCCGGGCTATCCCTTGTTGTATCCTACTCTATTTTTGCTCGGTATGGTAGGATACTACAAGCTCGAAGTCAGAAGAGAAGTAGCTCTCGCAATGTCATGTTGAAGGTGATGAGGGGTTAGAATACACAATCCGAGAATGCTGGAGATGGTGCGACTCAATGCGCCGGATGGGTGCGCGGGGCGTCGGCGGCGGCCGCCATTGCTGGCGGTGCCGCGCGCGCACACCGCACTGATGCAGCAGGCGCCGCTCGCGCGCGCGCTGCGCGTGATCAACGCCATATCGGAGCAAACTGATTTGTTTTCATGTTCGCTGAGTGAGCTCAGTAGAGTGGCATATGGTAATGTATCGTTGGCTACACTGTCGAATTAGGGTGCTCATCCTGTAATGACTGTGTATGTTGTATGTATACATACATAATATTCTATATAAAAAAAATATAGAATATTATGTATGTAGTAGCAAGGCCGGTCATTGACACGGCCCTGTTAGTTCGTTGACACTATGACTCACACTCACTGTTTATTCAATATTTACGATCCTTATAGATTAACACTGTATTATCTTGTAATTTCTTAACTAATTTCGCAGTTGGCTTTTTGAACTATGTAGTCCACGCACTTTGCTACATAACACAACTTTTTTTTTAAATCTAAAGATTTACTTTATACTCAATAGCGAATATTAACCACGGAGACAAAACAGGTACGTGTTGTTGCGCGATCACCTGCGGGCGGAATCCGAATTATGAGGCAAGCCTGGCTGTAATGCTGCTGTCTCAGATAGTATGTGAAAGAGAAGATCTTGCAAAGAGCAATCATTTCAGGGAGGTTCCCCGCGCGACAAGTATAAACTTGTTCGTACGATCTGAAAGCATCCGCCACCGCTGCTATACATCGACCTCCGATATAACTTCCGATGAAAATTTATCAGAAACAAAATCGAACAATCGGAAGTTCCGAACTTTCGCAATCGGAATCGATACCTCCGTAACATCTCTACTTTAAATGCAGATAGGTTTGCATTGATTGAGCTACAGAATCCATTGACAATCAGGTGGACTGTTCTCGTTTGTCAGTCACCCTTTACTTAGTATAAAAATTGACAACACATCAGTCCACTGCTGAATATCTTCGATCGTAATAGGGATTAGTGATAATCAAATACGATATCCGACGAGATCGACGGCTCCGTGAGGCGAAATGCCTTAGTAATGAGTTGCAGTGCTGGGGGCCGCGGATTCTAATCCCGCATGGAATAATTACAGTGATGTATGGCCAAGTATACTGATGTATGGCCTACAAATAGTTGTTTCGGGTCTGTATGTTCGCCGCCCTTGTGAAATTTATGTGTGTAAACTGCCTCCTACGATACAGGAGACAAACATAGTGTGGGGATGATATTTTTCGAAAATATAACATACCTACCCCTCAATATTATTCATTCTGTCCTATTACAAAAAATTGTAATTATCTACCATAAAATATTACAGTCAAAATGCTTTTAACAAATGCAAAAAACTTTAAGGGGGGAAAAATGTAGCAACAATTTCTTATCGTGGTAGTACACCATCAAGCGGGTTGACAAAAGCAGTACCAGCACACATTTTACAATGCACTTTGTCAAGTCAACAGTATGGGTATTTTGGTTCTGGCAATTTCTGATTGGAATTTTATTATTTTTATTTTTTTTTAGTTCATGTGTATTAATATAAAAAGATTAGTGATTTTGTATTCCAACAACCTGGTTAGAAATTTGTGACATGACCTATTTATAATGGTATTGTCGGTGAATGGGTAGAGCGTAATTCTCCTGGGTGGCGTTATTTAGGTTTAAGATAATCAAAGACAATTTTTATTATTTATCAATTTTTCGTTTTTTACAAAAACCTTTCAGATATTTAGATAAAATGTAGAGCACCCTGGAACTGCTCTCTGCCTGTTCGTAGTTTCATTACAATCGGTTCAGTCACTACGAAGATCAACCACAGATGGACAGCTAGGCGGCCAGACAGTAAGGCAAACATTTTAAAAAGACATAAATTGTCTTAATAGCATCCACATAACGCTGTGAGCTAAATAGAAGCCAGTTATTTCAATATTGCAGACAGAAAGTTGAATTTCATTTATACGTATATTGTATAGATGTATAAACGTACAAGTTCCCCAGTTAATAATTGTTTGTGTGAAATGTAAGGCCCTCATCAAAAACAACTCAATATATTTTGACAACGCTTTATTTGCCAAGAACTTACCGCACATCCGGTTTATTCGAGATAAAGCAAGTTCTCTTTAATAATTTATATTTAAATATACACATTACCCAGATAAACCTAATTAAAAAAAGAGAATAACTATATGAAAGATTAGGTGGTATTAAAAACAGCAGTAGGTACAGTGCATCAATATATGATATTTAATCTTCATTTACAAGCAAATTTATTAATACACGTTTAATATTCGGTCAGGTTGCGTATCAATCATCCAAATGAATATCTTATTATGCCATAATATAGTGTAAAATATGTATATTGGAGGCGGCGGCGACGGCCGCTAAAGGCAACGAAAACAGCAGGCTCACTGGAATCACATTCCGAGCTAGCAACTAGGCGCCGGGACGCGTCTCTACATCGTATGCAACGCCGACATTAACAAACTAGAATTCGTCTAAATGTAACCGCGGCGGTAACAAATAAAACTACATCCCGCTCCCTCACGAGTTTCATTATAATGAATCGTTATCATGTTCACTTCAGTCGATCGTACAGTACAGCTAGTTCTCATCTCGATAGGACATTTTCTCTATTATGTATATAGATAATCTGTATAATATAATTCTTTCTCACTAATATCTACACCGTCTCCAAGGGTTACAGTTACATATAATCCTTGCGGGCCGGCGCCGCAACGCCACGGCGCGCTGCCCGCTTAGTGCGTCCACTTGCTCCAGGCTTGCTGCAACAAAAACACAACAAACATTCAACTGCATTGTTGATAAACAAACATTATTCAAATTTACAAATTACACGGTAATTTAGAACTAAAGATGGATTTCAGAATAAACTTTCAGTGACAACTACCTAATTCATACCATATACAGTTCATATAGACTATTCACATCTAATTTTTTTGCTAATGTAATATAATGTTATTACTGCATCCCAGAAATTATTAAAAATTTGTCATACACAAAGTTCAAAAATTTTATTAAACTAAATTTGTATAAAAAGGGTTATTATAATATTAAGGAATTTATGGATGATAATAACCATTGATACCAAGCTATTTCTAATTTGTCTTGTGTTGTTAATTGTAAACATGACTGTAAGCTTTTATTTGAAGAAAAAAAAAAACTAGTCCCGCTGAGTTTCATTGCTGGTTCTTCCCAGGACAGAGGTTTTTTTCGAACCAGTGGTAAATGAAAAGTGACTCTCAATAAGTATTGTTTATAATGTACATTGGGTGCGTTTGGCAGAAAAAAGCGCTAGCAAGCGCTTGTAAGCAAAATGGCGATCGTAAGTGGTAAGCGCTGTCAAATCGTAAGTAGCTATTTTCCTCCAGGACACGATGTTAGTTTTAACCGGGGAACCTAACCTAATTTAAATATATGTTTGTAAAGTATTCATATTAAAAACTTACCAATCATGAATTTTAATATCATGTATATGTTTATTCATGTCATTATATTACTTAAAACTAATATTGCACAAAATAACTTATAAACTCTACTTCAAAACAAACAAATTAAATAAGCAAAACGGCGGATTGTGTCAGCGCTACTGAAGTAGCAATCGTGTCCTGGCCGAAAACTATTTCAGCGCTTATAAGCGCTTGCAAGCGCTTTTTTCTGCCAAACGCACCCATTGAATAAAAAAGTTTCTATTTCTGCAATTACCAATTCCATTATTGCGGAGCGGAAATCCAACTCGGTTTATTCGCGTACGATAAAATTTTATTATCATCCATCTACTACAGCCTATAAAAGTTCACCGCTGAACAGAGGCCTCCTCCATAGTTTAGTTGGCACGCTCGGCATACGGGTTGGCAATTGAAGTTTTTTATTATTTTCAGTTGTTATCATAAAGATGCCGCTGCCCTTCACTATATCCTTTCAGTTTTCGTCTGTTGTCTTTTATGACGCCCACGGGTTGATGTGGGTTATTGGATTTTTTTTATAGGAAAAGGGTGACAAACGAGCACACAGTCCACCTGATGGTAAGTGGATGCTGTGGCCCATAGACATCTATATTTAATCTTGCTTAAGAATCAAAGATAAACACAGATGCATTGTCACCCTTGAGGACTAAGTTGGAATGCCCCGATTCCAGTAAAACGGGTCTCCGGCTCTTTACTCGCACCATACGAAACACAGCAGCATTAAGCTACTATTTTACGCTGGTATTCTGAGAGAGCGTCGTCCTTCTCCTGTCGAGCCGACCCATTCATACTACAACCATAATAGCAGCTACCGCCTTTACTACGGGCAAAATATATATTTATTGATATTTCAATTTTAAATTTGATCGCTTATCCTTCCACTATGCCATCGTCACTATGCCAATGGCCACCTACAACTTTTTCTGCCACTAGGGCGGCACCACACAGGAATGAGGTGAAATATTTGATTAATTCCATGGCTGGGGAAGTTGATTTGTTAGGAAAATATAGAGGAAAAGCTGTTTTTTTAATCTTAGATATATTTTATATTAATTAGATTAAAAATATGCAACAAAAATATTAAAGAGTTCACCACTGAGCTTGTTGTATTTGTTCGAACCGTAAATGCTGCATTTTCGGTCGGTCGGATGGCCTCGTACATTTGTACGTACGCGCTGTACGTAATTGTTATGTATTGCCAACAATTTTTAGTTTTCTCCAAGCATTAATGTGAAACGGTACAGTGATCAATCGGATCGCTATGGAAAAATGGTGTAATAGCCTGCTTATTGACAGAGGAAGAACATGAAGTACGAAGACTGCTTTTCTTCGAATTTCATGTTCTTCCTCTGGATTCATAATATTAATTTAAAAAGGCAGTTGTATGGAGAATATTTTATTTTGTTTAAAGATTTATTAGATGATGATGAACGATTTTTCAGATATTTGCATTTAACATACGAAAATTTTCGAGAATTCCTACTATACTAAAACCATATTTCTGTATGGAAAACTCATGATTTATAATAAGGCTAATTGAGTCTGAGGTAAGACTTGTTGAATGTTTGAAGTAAGTATTTTATTGATAATTAATTAATCCGGTATAATTGGGTTTGAATTAAAATTTGTTAACAATTTTTTATGGTATTTAAATTATTTTGTCGCTAAGTATTTATATTGATAATAATCATTCCATTTTTTTTCAAATTATGTATAATTAAAAGTTATAAAATGCCTTGAGTGACGACTTATTGTTGTCTACATATTAAAAGAAAATGCTTCTGAAATTAAGTAAAAATATATTTCGAAACGATAGTCGAAACCACCAGTTTTAGTAGAAAATCCACAAAGTTGGAAACATTAGAGAACATTGAGTATCAGCATGCGTCCTTCAATATTCGGATACCTACCGCATCTGATAAAATGCGGCGCGTACGGTGCCGACAAATTAGCGTTCAGTGACTCCCGGCTAGCGTGCAGCTTACGTTAGGTACGGTTTGTATCGGTGTGGAGGCTACTGGTACCTGCTTGTCCGCGGCGTGGTGCGGGTGCGGCAGCGGCGGCGCGTGCGGCGCGAGCGGCGCGTGCGGCTCCCAGTGCGGCTCGGCCGGCAGGTAGTGCAGCGGCAGCGCGTGCATCAGCGACAGCGCGGCCGCCGTGGCACCGCCGTACGCGCCCTCCAGCGCGCCCGCCCCGCCCACGCCTACGCCCACGCCCACACCGCCCATGCCGCTCACACCCTGCCACATCATACAATACTTTCACTTACACAATTTAATTACGCTAAATATCAAACCATAATAAAAATATATATACATAATCAGATATTGAAAACAATCCAAAAACACTGGTAAAGAACCATATCTGATAATAGTAGTACCAGAACCGAAAACGTATTGAGAACCAATAGATATCTTTGTTTTAACAGTAAAAGAAAGAAACAAATACTAATTTATTAGTGTGATGTTGGTCCTAGTGTGGAGATCACGTGTTTTCAAAAAAAAGAAGAATTAACTTCATTTTATTAAATGACAGTAAGTTAAAAATTAAAATTATAACTATAATCGCAACGCACCTGGTAGCGGTCGTGGTCGGGCAGCTGGTGGTGCAGGTGCGCGTGCGGCCAGTCGTCGCCGCCGGTCAGCTTCCAGGCGCGCTCGGTGCCGATGGGCCGCGGCTTGCGCTCTTCCTCCTCGCCCCACCCGCACCCACTGCCACCGCCGCCACCGGTACCACCGCCACCACCGCCGGGCGAGCTTACGTTCACGCCGACTCCCACTCCCACTCCCACGCCGCGATCCAGCAGTGACTGCACAATCAGATAATATAATATTTATTTTAACCATTTAAAAACCAATACGATCGAGAACTATAACTTTGTGAACTCATAAGTGACTGTAGCCTTAACCTCTCAAGCGTCCGAAAGACACCATGTGTCCATAAGCGAAAAGTGCTGGTAGCGCCCGAAGGACACCATGTGTCCGTAAGGAGTCGATCTTCTTTTGTCTTTGATATTCAATCTGCGTGGTGATTGGTTGTTCAAATTTTTTCTCATTCTCAAAGTTCAACTAATCATTCATTCATTCATGTGTGATACACCAATCAAAATTAAGATTTAAAAATTTAAAGGTAAAAAAAATTTGAAAGTCAGTCGTGACGTTCATTCCTTTAGCCGCCATTTTCAATTTCTGTGCAAAAACAAAGTGTTTCGTGTGGAAGAAAAATGTCCAAAGCTTTCAAACGATAAGTGTTTATTTTATAAATTATATATCAAATTACTAGGAATTGAATACAAAATCGTTTTATCATATTTACTCAAGCCACAAATTTCATTTCGATAGTAAAAAAACAGTGAAACTTTTGGAACGCATCTTATTGAGTTGTAACGCCGGGCGGCCATTTTATGCCGGTTTCGAAATAAATTATTTATTATGAAGTAACTACTTGTTATTATAGAATAAAATTATGCAAATCCGATAAACAATCTATCAAGCTTTACGTTATTGTTTGTGTTTTGTGAAATGTGGCCTTGGATTTAGCACAATTTGTGAATAAAGTGTTAGTGTCGGAACAAAAAACAGAAGAAAAACGCAATGTTTTGAAAACAGAAAGTAATAATTCATTTACTATGTAAGTAATTACATTATTATTTATATAAACAGATAGGAAATTTAATCCCCTTTCGAATGATACATAACCTATAAAACGTTATTTCACCTATTGGAAAATATTTCGTTTTTTCTACGCGAAACCAGAGAAATTTCATTTGTACTGGACATTACGGGACTTTGAACACTCAAAGTATGGACGCTTGAAAGGTTAAAGGTATGAACTACGAACTTAAAAAGTTGTCGGTTCAAATTCGCTATTGTAATTAACAGTAATATTTCTTTATTTATTTTAAAAAGAATTATCTGCTAAATGTAGAAATTCATAACAAAAAACAACAATTACCCATATATATCCAAATTCCAGATATAGCAGCTCTAACAAAAAAGACTAATAGGATAGGCTAATAAGATTGGCATAGGATACTAATAGGATAGACATAGGATAGGATTCTTTTTTTTTAATTGCATTACTACTGGTTCGGAAAAAAATCTCTATCTTGGAAATAACAAGCAAAAAACCAAAAACCTTGATTGAAAAGAAGTTCTTTCATACCCCCAGTATTTTTGAAAGACCTGTCCAACGATACCCTACACAATGGGATGGGTAAAAAAAAATCATTCTCCATTTGCCTGTATGGGAGGTACCCAAAATAATACTTTTTTTAATATTGTATTCCACAGTTTTGTGGGCGTGATTAATATCTATAACTATGTCAAATTACAGATTTGTAGCACCTATCGACGAAATGTTTAATGTGCTCATAGACATGCCATAACATAATTTTAACTTCATGATGATAGTTTATAGTATATATATATAATAGATATATATAAGTCAAAAATAATAATACTAAATACTATCAACTCATAACTCTTTTACTAAAAAATATATAGAGTTTTGAGTTGAGATATTTATTATTATACTTTGCAAAATGTTTCAGTTATATGCGTCATTCAAATTAAAGTAACATAGGTGTCACTCCTGTTGTTGCAGTTTAGATGACAAATAACTTATATTGAGGTTGTAAAATCGTAAATATTACACAAATAAACTTGTAAATACAGTTGTATTAACGAAACTGAATATTAAGCTATGAGTAAACGAACTATGCAACTTTGGGGGAGGCGTGAACTTGTGAAGGGTAGTTGAATGATGAAGATGATGTAACGAACTAAGCGTCATTAGCAATAGTAGTCCATGATGTAACTACAACAACAAAACGAACGCTTCCCGCCCGTGTTCGTTCGTAATATATCTTCATAGTGAATTTTGTGATCGGTGGCGCGCCCAAAATATTGTGTCGCATGCCATGGATGGCACGCGAGCCATCGATGGCACACGTGCCATTGGTTCGCCATACCTGACCTAGGGTCTCTGAGTAAAACCGCAAATGAACGGACGGACGATATGGCGAAACTATACTAAATATGACTACTAAACTACTTCTAACACAAAAGCATTTCAAGTTTGATATTATTTTTGCATTAGTCGTCTCTTAAAAAAGAACACTATTTTCTTCACACTCGTGAATTCAAATTTAACAGGCAAAATTATAACCATTTCAGCCGTTTCTAAACTTCATTTATTTCTGGATAGTAAATTGAGAACCGCGAGACAACTAAACAATACAAACTGATGTTACTTTGAAGATATAAACTATCCATAGAAAACAACTATTTTATTTAATTTATCAAGCTTTATATTCCTTTTGCATTAGTCGTCTCTTAAAAAGAACACTATTTTCTTCACACTCATGAATTCAAATTTAACAGGCAAAATGATAACCATTTCAGCCGTTTCTAAACTTCATTTATTTCTGGATAGTAAATTGAGAACCGCGAGACAACTAAACAACACAAACTGATGTGACTTTGAAGATATAAACTATGCATAGAAACAACTATTTTATTTAATTTATCAAGCTTTATATTCCTTTTGCATTAGTCGTCTCTTAAAAAGAACACTATTTTCTTCACACTCATGAATTCAAATTTAACAGGCAAAATGATAACCATTTCAGCGGTTTCTAAACTTCATTTATTTCTGGATAGTAAATTGAGAACCGCGAGACAACTAAACAACACAAACTGATGTGACTTTGAAGGTATAAACTATGCATAGAAAACAACTATTTTATTTACACAAAATTTATCAAGCTTTATATTCCTTTTGCATTAGTCGTCTCTTAAAAAAGAACACTATTTTCTTCACACTCATGAATTCAAATTTAACAGGCAAAATGATAACCATTTCAGCCGTTTCTAAACTTCATTTATTTCTGAATAGTAAATTGACAACCGCGAGACAACTAAACAACACAAACTGATGATACTTTGAAGGTATAAACCAGTGGTGGGCAAACTTTTTAATGGCGGGCCACAAAGTTTAAGAAATTCTAGAGGAGGGTCGGAATTATAGAAAAAATTAATTTTGTGTTAAACTCAATTATACGGGTCATATACTATCCATGTTGACGGAACCTCGGCGGGCCGGATTAAATACTTTCGCGGGCCGGAGTTGGCCCGGGCGCCGTACTTTGCCCATCACTGGTATAAACTATGCATAGAAAACAACAATTTTATTTACTCTATCAAGTTTTATATTCTTTTTGCATTAGTCGTCTCTTAAAAAAAGAACATTATTTTCTTCACACTCATGAATTCACATTTAACAAACAATATGATAACAATTTCAGCCGTTTCTAAACCTGCATTTATTTCTGGATAGTAAATTGACAACCGCGAGACCACTAAACAACACAAATTGATGTTACTTTGAAGGAATAAAGTATGCATAGAAAGCAACTATTTTATTTACTCTATTTAAATGCGCTAAATTCACGTATTGTCAATATTAAAATAAGAAATGTATGATTTACATTAAATTATCAAAACTATTATCGAATTCTAACTTTAGTACATGATCAACAACACAGCCCATTACTACAAGTAAAGTGCTAAGCATTACCCTCATCCTCCCCAAATGTCACAAATTGTGGTCTTGAGACATAATTGCGTAACTTATTTGAAATTACTTATTATAATATATCACGAAAAAGGCATTAGATAAAGCGTTCAGCATACATTTTATAGAACGCGAGGAGCATGGGCTAAAAAAACCGGCATAAATGAGAAATAAAAATATTTCAGTCATGAAAGTCAGTACTGCAGTGGGGCAGTATGGCGGTTTTACTTTTGCCCCAAAACCCTTTTGAAAGAAGTTAGTACCCAGCAGTAGGACGTATTTAGGCAACTTCACTTTACTTATTATTTTTAAGATTTTGTATTGTGTCGTATTTCTGAAATATTACCTGGTAGGGATGGTGGGGTTGCGGTGTGTGCTGCATGGGCTTGGGTGTCGGTTGTTGGTAGGACATCAGCAGCGTGCTCAGGTTGCCCGCGTTATTGCCGCCGGCGAACAGCTGCTAAGGTTATGATTTAAATCATTATTTATAATACATTGCTATATACATTATCACCATCATTGCAGCCCTTCACAAGTCCACTACATACATGGACCTCCTCCAAGGATTGCCACAAAGCACGGTCCTGAGCCAACAGCATGTCTTACCAGAATGCTGTACACATGCTGGTTATCAATATCAAAGAATTGGAAGCATTCTAAACAGGCCATCAAATACTAGCATTGTTTTTAGTAAAGGTTTATAGGAATGAGATTGTACTTTGTTTGTTGTTTATGTGGCATTATAATTCTCAAATTAATAATTACAGTAAAATTCATCGTAATCTAGATTTACATAAAATATTTCGTTTAACAGTATATTCAGTTACATTACGTAGTCATGGTAATTCAGAAACCAAGTGCTTGACATAAAATTCTATAGTACACGAGCGCAACCTGCATTCTATTTCACACAATTTTAAGTTCTGGCTTACCACGTCGTCGTCAGTAAAGCAGCAGCGTAAGGAACCAGCATGTCTAAATTAGTCAAATATTTCCCAGACATGTAAAGTACGCTCACAAGCATAAGAGAAGTGCGGCGGATTAATTACGCCATAACTCCCTCAAAAATATATAAAAAGAAGCTTTTCCCAGCAAGTATAGGTTATGACTTTCCATCCATAAACAGCATATAAAAGTCCACTGCTAATCAATCAATCAGCTCATGGTTTCGTAATTATTTACATAACAGAATGTTGTGCACAAAGATAAAAGAAACCATTTGCAATGGTAAATTAGTTAGTACTGGAGTTCCTACTGGCTCTGCGTTTGGCCCTGTGGGCTATATCATGCATGTAAATAGCATGGTAAACGTTGTAAAAAACTGCAGAACATACATGTATGCTGACGACACATGCATGATGAATGCTGACAGGGATATAAAGGTGATTGAGAACAAAATACAACCGGATTTTGATAACGTAATCAAATGGTCCCATGATAATGGAATAATTTTAAATATAGAGAAAACGAAATGCATGCTCATTCAATCGCCATACCTGCATAAACCATGTATACCTATAAATATCATAGGCCATTCGTATGATTGCTTGCATAGAAATAAACAATGCATTGGTTGTAAATCGATTGAGCTTGTTGATAATTACAAATATCTAGGATTAACCATAGATACTAAGTTTAGTTGGAATTTCCATATAGAACGAGTATGTAATAAATTAAGATCGTTATTATGTAAGTTTGTACACCTTAAAAGTGTAGTAGATAAAACAACTTTAAGCATTCTGTACTATGCTCTCGTGGATTCTGTAATTAATTATGGCCTTTCAGCCTATGGACGTACGTTCCGAACGTACATGGGTAGAATACATAATCTTCAACTAAGATTTATTAAACTGTTAGTTAATAAGCAAGCTAAAGAGAAAAGTAAGGGTAACTATAATCTATTGTATAAGAAATGCAATATTCTACCAGTACGTGAAAAAACAAAGTATTTATTAGCAATTGAAGGATACAAAAGTAAATTTTTAGTTAGGAAATCAATTTATGGTAATTTAAGAAAGAATACTCCTAAACTGTTTGAGGAACCAAGTGCGCAAAACTACTTTGGTGAAAGGACGCGTAGGTATTTAGTGCCAAGAATATTTAATGAAAATCCACAAGAGGCCTGTCGGACAAAACAAATTTTTAAAAAAATTGAAATATTGGCTACTGAATGCCATCGATGACCTGTAGTATTAGTAGTAGTAATATTTAGTTTATAATTAATTATTAATCTTAATTATCTTTTATTAATCTTTATTCATTATTAATTTAATTTAAGATATTCGTTTTCTGTCTTTTATAGCTTTGTTATTAATTTAGTGATAAGTGTACTTTAACTACTTAGTCTTTAGTTTTTAATTACTTTATATGTTTATTAATATGTTTGTTGTTTTAAAAGTTATTTTAGAGAAATATTAAAATGCAATTGTAAACCTTAATGAGTGCAGTTTCGCCAATAAACTGTATTCTCAGTTTGGCGAACTTAATGTTTTTAGAACCAATTGTATTTACTATGTTAATAAATAAATAAAAAAAAAACATTAGCCTGCCACATAGATTGCCTCATGGGGAGGATTTATCAGTTTCCACCTTTTTTTTCGGGGGGGGGGGTTAGAGTTTTGGGGAAGTGAAGGTATTGTGTAATTTTTTTTAGGTTTTTTATTTTTTTTTTTTTTTTGTAAAAAAAAGTAGAAGTATGTGTTTTCTTGCTTAACAAAATAAAAAATTTTAAATTATTTATTTTTATAGTTTTATATAATATATTTTAAAAAATAATTTTTTTTATTTTATTAAAAAAAAAAATTTTTTTTTTTGTTAATATTTGTAATTGTTATTAAGAAAACGCTGCTATCCAGCACCCGGTTTGTTTCCCTCTGTGGCATTTTACGACACATACAGGACGATATGGAATAGTGGATATTCTAACACAACCACTACACAATCCACAACACAGGGTAAGCTAGACGATGTAATTTAAGAGATCCAAAGAGCGCCTATAGGCTGTCAACTCCGTGCAGTCCGCGCCCGCGGGGTTACAGCGGTTGGCAAGGACGAGGTGAAACATTCTCAAAGGGGAAGCGAACGGTATGCGGGAGGGCGAGCGAGCACGCCGCGTGCTCCGGAGCGCCAGTCGCCGGTGGTCGCTTGCAACTGTTACTTGTGTACTTGGCGCACACGAGATTACGATCCGAAGATGAGCAAACCGATTGAACGACAATCTAAAGAAATTGTGTATAACGTATACATGTATTATGTATTTACGCAGTGCGCGGGCTGCAAGAACCTGCGGGGATGATACCTAAGTATATTAAGAGCTTCCTCATGAATCACTCCGTCTATTGGAGGAGAAAACCGCATGACAATCTGTTCAGTAGTTTTTGAGTTTATCATACAGACAGACGCGGCGGGGGACTTTTTTATAATATAAAGTGATTTAATATTATATCGAAATCATCACTACATCACACAATACTTCGTAATAAATCTAAATAAATCCGTATTAATCTTAAGATAACTTGATCCTAAATCCCTAAGTGTGTAGCCGTGGGCGTTGCTTCGTGCACAAGCTGCGTAGGTACTACCTCGTCCCCGTGCACCCTGTACCCCGTGGGCGCGGACTGCATGACGTTGACGGCTTATAGTCTCTCTCATCGGCAGCTAAATATTAGACAGCAGCGGCGCACGCACCTGAGCGCTGTGTTTGTGCTGCAGCAGCGGGTGGCGCTGCGCGAAGTCCGGTGCGCGCGGGTTGAGCCGCGAAACGTTCTCCACGCCCACGTAGCCCAGCCCCAGCGCTGCGCCGCTCATGCCCACGTTCCCCGACATCGATACCGGCTGCAAACAACAACCTAATTACTCACTGTACACATGTATTATGTAATAAAAAGCACGAAACAGGTAATTTAAGTACAAGTATTTAAAATTGGAATCCTTCAGATACTGGTCATTCAAAGTGATACTACTCTGGAGGCATGAAGCAGGATTGTGGTGGGTTTTTTCTTCATGCGAGGCGATAACGTCCATTGAAGAACTACAGATTTTTTTTACGAGGGTGGATTGAAAAGTACTCGGCCTAACACAGATCCATTCAATTCTAAAAATCAAATCTACCCACATTATTTAGTTCAGTTCAGACTAGTTCATTGTGTGAAGTTCGAAACGTGTGCGATAATTAGTTGTGATTTTATAAATTTATTAACAAAGTAATCGGACATAATTTCCGCGAATGGAGCAAATCGAGCAGCGTGCCGTCATTAAGTACCTCCATAAGAAGGGGCTATTATCAAAAGCCATCCATGATGACATGGTCAGTACATTAGGCGATTGTGCTCTGTCATATTCATCCGTCAAAAAATGGATAGCAGAGTTTAAGCGTGGTAGAGAGAGTGTGAAAGATTAACCCCGCTCTGGAAGGCCTTCGACGTCAACTACTGACGAAAATATTAAAAAAGTACTTGTTTTAATAATGGGAGACCGCAGATTAAAAATTAGAGAGATAGCCGAGATTATAGGCATCTCTTATGAACGAACTCAAAACATCATTGTCAACGAGTTGGGTTTCCACAAGGTGTCTGCGAGGTGGGTTCCGCGACTGCTTTCAGTTGAACAAAAAAGGACGCGATTGACTATTTCACGCGACTGTTTGGAGTTATTTGAAGCCGATGCAGATGATTTTTTGAATCGTTTTGTTACTATGGACGAAACATGGGTTTATTACTGTACACCGGAAACAAAACAACAATCAAAACAGTGGAGAAGACCTGGTTCACCACCCCCTAAAAAGGCTAAGTCGATTTTGTCGGCAAATAAGGTGATGGCTTCAGTATTCTGGGACTCGAAAGGTGTGATTATGATTGATTATCTTGAAAGGGGTCAGACTATAAACTCTGATTACTACTGCACCTTACTACGTCATTTACGAGAGGAAATAAAAGAAAAACGTCGAGGAATGCTCAGAAGAAAAGTCCTGTTTCATCAAGATAACGCCCGTGTTCACACGTCAGTACAGTCAATGGCTGAAATTCACAACTGTGGCTTTGAACTGTTACCGCATCCGCCGTATTCACCTGATCTGGCACCATCAGACTTCTTTCTGTTCCCTAACCTAAAAAAGCACTTGGGAGGTCAAAGATTTTCGACAAACGACGAGGTCAAAGCAGCTGTAGACGCACATTTTGACTCTAAGGAAGAATCATTTTTTTTCAACGGTCTAAATGCTTGGAAGGGGAGGTGGCAAAAGTGTATTGAACTTGATGGTGATTATGTAGAAAAATAAAAATATAACTGATTTAGTATGTGTTTATTTTCTTGGTTAGGCCGAGTACTTTTCAATCCACCCTCCGGCACGCAGACTTAACAATTTCCAGCTACTCGAACAATCCAATTTCCGAAAATTTTAGTGCCTTAGTATAAGCGCAAGCACAGGTGCACTCTTTATTACCTCACTATCATAGTATGATAGGACGGTTGAACCGACAATACTGGAGAGACATTGTGCCTTCACATAAAAAAAGGCTTTGAGATGAACATGGACTAGACACTAAATAACATCCATCCTATTCCTGTAGTTGTAGTGAACACTATTCATAAAGTTATCAATGTCTACATTTTTGTTATATGTTGATTTGGACTTATAGTTTCTATGTTTATGTAGAATACATTTTTGTTATATGTTGATTTGGACTTATAGTTTCTATGTTTATGTAGAATACATTTTTGTTATAAAAAAATTGTTAAAATGTTAAGTCGTGTTACTAAAATTATTTATAATTTTAACAGTCAGTACACTTCTGTATAATTATTTAGTATATACATGAATCGGAGTAAGTTTTGATAATCAAACGGACTTGCTGGTTTGGTTTAACATTTTTTATTATATTTATATATCATACATACCATCATATTGTGTCCATTTCGTGAATTGTCTTGTTGATAGATAGGTCCATTCCGGGAAAGCCCGCTCAAGTCCATAGCATTGACAGTATTGCCTAAAGTAAAAAGAAATATTATTAATCATTTGATTTTTTTTGGAAAAAGGCTTTGTGTGACCATAACATAATCTAATAAACTCCCACGTCTGTTCAAGATCAAGATTTCTATTTAATATAGACGTAAAACATTTCTGTCTCTTTTTTTTTTTTCTTTTGTCCTGTTTTCCTATGAATCTAATCTAATTATTTCTATGAATCTAAACCATCGAACAATTTAATTTTTAATTCTATGCACTACATTTTTACAAACTACATTGTTCGTGAGAACGCAACTGACCGAGCGATGCGGGCGGGTGCTGCGGTTGATGCTGTTGTTGGTGCTGTTGGTACTGCTGGTGCTGTTGCGCGTGCTGCGTGTGCTGCGGCTGGTGCTGCGGCTGGTGCTGCGGCGCGTGCTGCGGGTGCTGCTGCTGGTGCGCGTGCTGATGGTGCGGCGGCGGGCCGATGGGCAGCGGCGCGTGATAGGCGGGCTGGGCGGGTGGCGCGTAGGCGGGCGGCGGCGTGGAGCCGTGCGACGAGGCGCGCGAGCACGGCGAGCAGCCGCCAGCGCCCGCGCCGCCGCCGCGGTACCCCGGCGCCTTGCTCGCGTCCACCTGATCGCATGCATACTCACCACATCAACATGATATCCTCATATTATGTTTTCTTATTCAAAAGAAAAAACACCAGCAATGGGCTGTTAACACTACTAATACCTCTAGTTGTTTTAAAAAAAAAAGTTACCTATAATTATACTGTTAATGTAAGAACTGCTATATGTACATATTACTAATGTATCATATACAATAATGATATAACAACCTGCTCCTTTAAGATATCCGTCATTTATTAATTTATAATAGTCTATTTAAAGTTCACTGCTGCCTTTTTTGAATATTTATACTTTTTCAAAGGCCAGTGTTACTCCTCTAACTTACTACTGGGCACAGGCTTCCTGTCATTTCTGAGAGGGTTTTAAGGGCAAGGACCTATCCGCCGCGCTGTCAATGCGTGTTGACGAACTTCACATGTTTAAGAAAAATGTTTTTTTTTTCTATTTCTCAGACATGCAGGTTTCCTCACGATGTTTCCCTTCACCGCCGAGCACGTGGTAAATCAGCACTTACAATTGGAATTAACCATGTTTGATGTCCATGTCACACCTACGCCGGTAGTTTTTGGGAGCACTATGCTCGAAGTTGTTGACGAGTACGTTTACCTGGGACAAATAGTCCAACTAGGTAAGTCAAACTTCGACCAAAAGGTTAATCGACGGATTGCACTTGGCTGGGGCAGCTTTCGGGAAATTACATTAAATTTGTGGCTAGCCCATAGCCAATACAACACAAACCCAATATTCCATTAGTATAGCATATTAAAACAACGGGAGCATATAATCGACGGTTTCAACTCGGCTGGGCAGCGTTCGGGAAATTAAGACACATTTTCTCGTCAGGTATACCTCAAAACCCGAAAACTAGATTGTACAAACAGTGCTTGCTACCAGTGATGACTTACGGATCTAAGACGTGGTCCTTCACTGCTGGCCGTATGAGGGTGCTCAAGGTAGCTCAAAGAGCTATGGAGAGGCTATGCTCGGTGTTTCTCTGCATGATAAACTTAGAAATGAGGATATTCGCAGTAGAAACAGAGTGACCGACATAGCCTAACAGATTAATAAGCTGAAGTGGCAATGGGCCGGCCATATAGCTCGAAGAACCGGCAACCGTTGGGAAAAATAGGTTCTCGAGTGGCAGCCTCGTACCAGTAGGCGAAGTGTAGGGCGACTCTCCACTAGATGGAGTGACGACCTGGTAAGACATGCAGGAAGTCGATGGATGCAGGTGGCTTAGGACCGTGCTTTGTGGCATTACTTGGGGGAGGCCTATGTTCAGCAGTGGACTTGTGAAGGACTGTAATGATGCTGATGATGAATGTAATGATTCTCTACGACACTGCCACTTCACAGATATAATCTGCAGGCTGACTAGCTAATTTGACTGGTTTGGCTTATTAAGAAAATTTTCAGGGGCTACCTTTTAGAATAGTCGACACAGCCTAACAGGTCAGTAAGCTAAAGTGGCAATAGGATATAGCTTGCTTCGTACTGGTAAAATATCGATATGAAATATTTGGATAACAGTACCTGTGGCGGCGGCGGGTCAACGTTGTGGTGCGCGTCTCCGGCGCCCCACATGGCGGCCGCGCCCGCCGACAGGTCCTTGAACAGCGAGTACTCCTGCGCGCTTCCGCCGCCTCCGCCGCCCGCGCCGCCCTGCACACACGACTTTGCGTTACAACTTGCATTCTATCACATTTTTCACCAATAATAAACATTGTGACGTATTTCTTATGCCCGGTTTACATTATTCCAGTCCAGTGATCGAATCCAGCGCTGGATTGCTTACTGGAAAAATGTAAACCTGCACTGGAATGCACTGAATCCAGTTAGCATTCCAGTCCAGTAACTGGATTGGCGGTCTACTTTTGGCGTGGAATAATGTAGACGGTCAATCCAGTGCCATTCCAGTGCTAACACAATCAATAAACACGTATTGGTTGTTTTTGCGGATTACTGCGGCGAAGGCTAAACAACTAGAATAATAGACCTTACAGATCCAGTCCAGCACTGGACTGGATTCTCGCTAGATCATTGGACTGGAACAATGTAAACCGGGCATCTTCTTAAGTCATAACAATGTTAGATTATGACTTTAGCACAACTAATTTAATAAATGCTTTTTGACAGCTGTCACATTTATTGGAATAAGCATGTGGACAAATAAAAAAGTGTATAGTTGCTAACCCGCCTGTCTTATGAGAAATCTATATTCAGCGATGAAAAATTAGTGACTAAAAATTACGCATATTATTTATAATGAAATATAAATAACATCTTACGCTTTACGTAAAAGGTTCTCGGAAATCATGTGAGTATGTTTGTACAAAACTTCGTTATTACAAATGTGCATATAACTAAAATCACTTTTAACAAAAAGTAAAAACAGACTTCAAAAATCTAAAAATAATAAAATAATTTCATATTCTGATGTTGATACTAACTATGCTTATAGTGTATAGAAGAATTAAAGTCCTGAATTTAGAATGCGAAATTATTTATTTTTTTAAGTTTTTGAAGTCAGCTTTTACTTTCCGTTAAATTTTTTTTTACCCTTTTGCGTGGATAATCTAAAAAGAATAAAATAATTTCACATTCTGATGTTGGTAACATGGAGGTTAGAAAGAAGGAGAACAATCGCTATTAAAATTGATCCACAATCGACAGAGAAATCCGTAGACAGAGAAACATATAGACAAATTGACGCCTTCTTTCGCATTTGCACACGAAAAAGATTTATGCATACGTCTTGCGTAGAAGCGTCTTGAGCCGTGGTAGATCAGATGGTTAGCGCTCGCTGTAAATTTCACTATACGCGAGCAAACCGGGTTCGATCCCCGTCGGCCCAAATTAAATTGTTAATTGCAATTTTAAGTACTGATTTACCACGTGCTCGGCGGTGAAGGAAAACATCGTGAGGAAACCTGCATGTCTGAGAAATAAGAAAAAAAAAATATTTCGAAGACATGTGAAGTTCGCCAACACGCACTGGGCCAGCGCGGCGGTCACTTCCTTGCCCTAAAACCCTCTCAGAAATGAGAGGAGGCCTGTGCCCAGCAGTGGGACGTATATAGGCTGTAACTTTTGCGTAGAAATGAGACAGAGCAGTGTGATTGTTTGTCCCTTTTTCCGTGCCGGTTTTTTTGTTTAGCAAACTACACTTTGCTAAACAACTTTGAGAGTTCGTAGCGATCTAAGGAGTTTAAAAGATGGTTTAAGTGAGAAAAAAGTGTTTTGTGAGCTTAAGATTGGTGAATCTTGTTCAGTTTAGTTCTTAGAACAATTAAAAATTTTATGTAAATATGTTTAAAAGTCATAAAGATTATTGTATAACCTAAAACTACGTTATCGTCCTTTCTCACTCGAGGCCACGCTAATCATTAGTCTATAGGTTTCTCTGTCTACGGAGAAACCGGTGACCATAAATACATAGTCAAACACAGAACCTGTTTCTTTTTTACCTGCGGCTGCGTGTTGACGTGCAGCGCGGCGGTGGCGGGCGCGGGCGCGGTGGTCGGCGCGGAGGCGGGCGCGGGCTCGTCGGGGACCCAGCCGGCGTCGGGGCTGAGGTCGAGGCGCCGCGGCTCCTCCTCGCGCTCCATCGGCGACGCGCGCGCGCAACGGCGACCCGCCCGCGCCGCAGCCGCCCGGGCTGCCCGCCGCGCCGGTAGAGCCAGCTGCGCCCTGAAAAAATCAACATGTCTTATTTACGCCACTCAAAATCATTTTGCTTAAAACCACTTCAAGCCACTGTGTAGTGATGATGTATTCTATCCATTAAACAATATCATCCCGTAGGAATCGTAAGTAACTTCCCGATATCAACTATATAAATTTTCAATCCATCTGTTAAGTGTGGCAACTGATATGAAATGTAATGAATAATTTTTATTAAATATAGATTATTGTATAATACTTCTTGAGTCATTTTTTTATTTACCACTGGTTCGGAAAAAAAACCTCTGTTCTGGGAAGAACCAACAAGAAACCCAGTGGGACTTTTTTTTAAACATATTTCAATATACAATAAAATTATTTTATACAATTTTTGAATGAATTTTTATAGAACCAGCATGGTGGCGAACACCTCATTCCGAAGGGTTATTTTTATTTATGTATTCTTTTATATTATAGTAACCCTTTTAGTACAATTTTTCCTTAATATAACATTTAACCTTGTTTAACGACAAATTTTGTACATTTTCTGGGATTTCGTTATGAAAGTGTTACATTGCCCAATAACTTTTAGCACCAAAATCATTAGTTATTTTATGCATATTTATTTAAAATATTTGAACTTCTTAAACGTGGTAGAGCCATGCTGCAGTTATATTAGTAGTATAACTGCAGCACGAATGGGTCAGCTCGACCAGGGAAGAACCACGCTCTCACAAAATACCAGCGTAAAATAGTAGCTTAATGCTGCTGTGTTTCGTACGGTGAGTGTAGAGAGCCGGAGACCCTTGTTACTGGAAACGAGGCATTTCATCTTAGTCCTCACGGGTGACAATGCATGTGCATTTTGATTTGTAATCGGGGATAGATGTAGATGTCTATGGGCCGCAGCAACCACTTACCATCAGGTGAACTGTGTGCTTGTTTGTCACCCTATCCTATAAAAAAAATTATCAGATATAATCGAATTCAAAGCCAAAATATTAATTTTCTTCATTTAGTAAATTTTGATCACAACAACACGTATTCAAAAGCTCAGTTATATTTAAGTCGATTTCAAAACGTCAGAAGTGAAGTATAACGAAATTATAAATCGTTCTAGGAATACTCTCAAATTAAACTGGCATTGGTTGTGCTTTAAATCATTAAGAATAACTGAGCCGAAATTTTCATAAGTAACTATTACTTTATATAAAAATCAAGCCTGAAATTTTAAAATCATTACCTAATTAAACATCATTGGTCTCAACAGGTAGATTACCATTAAAGTATTTAGATGGGAAGCCATTTCTTTTTGCATTTTCCTTAGTTTACTCGGTCGCACGTGACAAAAGGGGCATTGAATCCTTTTATTGAATATCTTACCTCAAGATACCGTCATTTTTTTATATTGGATAGGGTGACAAACGAGCACACAGTCCACCTTTTTTATATCAAAAAAGGGGGCAAACGAGCATGCGGCTCACCTGATGTTAAGTGCCTACCGCCGCCCATGATCATCTGCAACACCAGAGGAGTAAGCTCTTTTCTTGAAGGTCCCCAGGTAGTATCGGTCCGGAAAAATTGCCGGTGGTAAACTATTCCACAGAGAGGTCGTACGCGGAAGAAAACTTCTTGTGAAACGTACAGTGGTGGACCGCCAAGCATCCAAATGGTGTGGATGGTATCACGAAATTTGGCGGCTGGGATTAATCCGAACAATTCCTCAGAGCACTCCCCATGGTATATGCGAAAGAAAATGCAAAGAGATCCAATATCTCTTCGCAGCGCCAGTGAATCGAGCCGATCGGAAATCACTCGATCGTTGACGATTCGAGCCGCTCTACGCTGAATGCGGTCAAGTGGAAGGAGCTGATACTGGGGGGCCCCAGCCCAGAGATGGGCAACAGTATCCCGTGTCCGGCGAACCTGCGCCTTGTAAAGTTGCAGGCGGTGAGCCGGCACGAAAAACTGTCCCGCTCTGCTAAGCACGCCAAGCTTTTTAGAGGCCAATTTGGCCTTCTCTTCCAAGTGGCCACGAAACTGCACATCACTCGATATGTCGATGCCGAGTATTCCAATACTGGCTGAGGCAACAAGGGGAGTGCCTTGAAACTGGGGAGATACCACAAAGGGGTTCTTTTTAGCGATTAACGCGCAAACTTGTGTCTTCTGGGGGTTAAACTGGACTAGATTTAGTCGCCCCCAATCCGAGACTCTGTTACAGCAAAGACTGGACTTCAGACACAAGTTTGTCCCGGTACTCAGAGACGTTTTCCCGAGAAATATTGGCACGGCCGGTGTACAGAGCATCACCAGTGCTGTCATCTGTATAACAATGAATCAATATCATTGATATGCAGAAGAAACAGCGTTGGCGATAGCACGTAGCCTTGTGGAACACCAGCATTAATAGGCTTGTAATTGGAGCTTGCACCGTCTACAACGACCTGGATGCTCCGATCTGCAAGAAAGCTGGTGATTCAATCGCACAATTTCTCGGGAAGTTCATAGGAAGAGAGCTTCGAAAGAAGCGCTTTATGCCAAACACGATCGAAGGCCTTCGCAATGTCCAAACTAGCGGATAATGCCTCCCCCCCTTGGACTCTACTGCCTCCGCCCATCTATGAGCTAGGTAGACCAGAAGATCACCAGCTGATCGACCACAGCGAAAACCGTATTGGCGGTCACTAATAAGCTGGTGATCCTCAAGGTACCTCATGAGCTGGCAGTTGACAATGGACTCCATTGTTTTGGAGAACAAGGAGGTGATGGCGATAGGTCGTTAGTTCGACGGGTCTGAGCGGTCGCCTTTTTTAGGGATCGGGTGGACGAAAGCAGTCTTACACGATTTTGGAACTACGCCTAGAGAGTAGGAGTACCGGAAAAGACGCGTTAAAACCGGTGCCAACTCTGGAGCACACGTCTTCAGCAGGATTGGGGGGATTCGGTCAGGCCCACTCGACTTGTCAATGTCCAGGGAGAGGAGTACTTTGCGAACCGAGCACTGTGTAAACTGCACATCCGGCATGGAGCACTCACACCGCGGGATGGTCGGCGGCGTACTCCCCCCATCATCGAGAGTCGAGTTGGACGCAAAGAAAGAGCCTAGCAGATCGGCTTTCTCCTTTGCGGTATGGGCCAGTGAGTCGTCCTCCCTGTGCAGAGATGGAATAGATGGCTGACAGAAATTCCCCTGGACAGCCTTGACGACAGACCAGAATGCACGGGTTCCAGAAGGAAGGCGAACTAGTTTCTCGCCTATTCTGCCTATGTGCTCAGACTTTGCCTTGGCAATGACTCTTTTAAAGGATCTAGAGGCGGTATTATACTTCTTTTTTAGAGCGCTGGTGTTTACATCCCGGGACGTTGATGCGTCAGCCCAGGCTTGGTCGCACTCTTGCTTATAGCATGATGCTATTTTACAGGAGCGACCAAACCATGGCTGAGATTTGCCTCCAATGGGCACCACAGAGGAAGGAATAAAAAGTTCCATACCCTGAAGTACCAGATCAGCGACAGAATCCGCAACAACGTTGGGATCGTTCGGCGAGAAGAAAACCCGCCCCCAAGGGTAGGATGCAAAGAAAGGCCGCATCCCATCCCAATCGGCTGACCTATAGTGCCAAACACGGCGGCAGCCTGCAGAATGTAACTGCGATTTCAGCGTGAGTGGCACCACACTTCGGACAAGACAATGGTCCGAAGAGCCTAAAGGGGCGTCGACGGAAATCTGATATTCGTCCGGGTGAGAGGTCAGCAGAAGGTCCAACAGGGAAGGTGCATGATCCTCTACATCTGGAATTCGTGTAGGCGAAGTAACTAGTTGTGTCAGACCATATGCCAAGGCAAAATCATGAACAGATCTCCCCTCATGATCGGTTAAGCGTGAACCAAGCCATTCGGCGTGATGGGCGTTAAAGTACCACACCTGATGGTAAGTGGTTTCTGTGGCCCATAGACATCTATATTTATCCTCGATTACGAATCAAAATGCAGATGCGTTGTCACCCGTGAGGACTTAGATGGGATGCCTCGTTTCCGGTAAAAAAGGGTCTCCGGTTCTCTACACTCACCATACGAAACATAGCAGCATTAAGCTACTATTTGACGCTGGTATTCTGTAAGATCATCCAGTAATTTTACGAACTAATCTCAAAATCTTATATATATTTCGTAATACCATTCTTTGTATAAATTAGTTTTGTTCTAGATAGTAAAGAGCGTGGCCTTTTTGAAAAGGTTTCGTCAAACGTTACAGGAAAATCTGTCACTATCGAAGATTTAATCATCTTTTGATTTAAGTACGTGAATTAAACAGTAAATAAAAAAATTGTGTTACAATATTTTATTTATATATACTGTGCTGACCATAGTACAAGAGCATTATACCTAATATCGCCGAATAATTAATTACGGCAATTGAATATAAAACTACAATAAAATGCGAATTCATAACCACCACATATGTGACAACACTGTGACAAATTTTTACCTGCGAAGGGCGTGGTTTGGTATCGTTGAGCGTGGTGTTGCCGGCGGGCACGGCGGTGACCTTGGCGGCGAACGTGTGTCCGCGGGCGCCTACAATCGCGCCCGTGTATGACAGAGCGCCCGACTTCACGGCGCCCGTGTTGCCGCTCGACACGATCGGTACGCTTGTCGCACTCGAAGGCAACACGCTCGGCGCGCTCGAAACGGTCGCCCGTTTCTCAGGAACTGTGATTGCTGGATATTTAAGTTGTTAAGTTATTTTTATGCTGTTAAAATAAGACGACTACAAGATTTTGCTGTATTATAAATCGGATTGTGTTTATAAGATTTGATTGTAGATACATTTTGAAGTAAAATTAAAACATCTTTTAAATTATCATCAATGTAGTGGTTTTACGAACGTAAGAAACATATTACTGTATTAGAAAGAGCGTTCCAATAGGTTGTTATAAATAGAGAGATGGTTGTAGAGACATAATACTGTAGCCTTAAGGCCAGTAGTTTCCCTGTTGTATAGACTAATGACGATAGACGGGGTTAGCTGTATTGAGTACAGTTGGAACGGGGCTACCGAATATATGTGAGGGAGATGACATGAGTGGGTGTAAAATTTTAAGAGGAAAAAGTAACTTTTTCTGTCGCAATTCAAAGTAGCTACACCATCGGTAAGTCGTATTGACTTATGGAAGATCGTAATAGCTCCTCTAAACGATGGGCCAGCGCTGGGCTAGCGAGATGGCCATGCGATGGTTGAAACGCATCTACACGATGGCGACATTCAGTTGTGATCGAAACGTTTTTCGAGATGGATGTGGAAGAATTAGCCGCTGCGGCAATATATTTATACAACATGTCATGTTTTTATTGTCTTTTCTTAATGTGCACAAGAATAGAGTTATCAAAAAGAAATGGCGTAGAAAATGGTAGATGTTATCTTCTATCCATCGCAATAGAACTAAATATGTCCTAAGTAAATATAGTTTTCTTTCAACAAAAATAATTAAATAGTTATAATCAATTGTTAAAAATAAATAAATAAAAAATAAAATGTAGGTAGGTATATGTTCTGATTTTAGTAGCTCTATGATTAAAATTTTATAACTTCATTAAGTGCGTCAAAGCACGAACGTTCACACAACCGTTGAGCGCACACAACTGTGAAATGGGCCACGTGTAGATGCGTACCACCATCGCTGGCCCACTGCCTTTGATGTGCGGCGGAAAAACCGACACCATCGCCATCCCCAAGACCATCGCATGCGCCATAAGCCATCCGACACAACTACGCTCTCCACACGCTGGCCCATCATAGTGGGCCATCGCGTTGGCCCAACGTGTAGAGGGGCTATAAGAGGCAAATAACTTGAAAGCAATTCAGTTAATACATTGCATGAATTTAAAATGGTAGACACGGCTTGGACATCAATGCTGTAACATTATATTGTCATACCCCATCAGATAAAATAGGAAGTGCATGCATGTTTTGTAAGTATTATTTAAATAGACATGGTTGTGGTAATAATTTTACTAGAAAATGAAAAGGAAAATGAAAAAGGGCTTGAGAAGAAGAGCAGCAAATAAAAAGGTTTAATTTAACCCATATAGGCCTACCGTACCCTATGTGGTACAGTTACTTTGTAAAAATATTTTGATGTACCCACAAATTATTAACTTTTTTGGTTAGTTGTGGCAGATAACTCAGAGTATTAGTTTTATATCAACAATATAACATACACATTTTATGCGAGTTATTATCAGTTTATATTAAAATTGCTAGACAGAAACGGAAAAAAACAATTTACAATGTCTTCAAGAAGGTAAGTTTCATGTTATCTATAGTAAATCATATTATTTGTTGGTATTATTTTAAATACTAGGCTACAATAGACGTAATAGCTACAAATAAGTTTCACTTGGGTCATTTTAGTAAGGTGTACACAGTGCTAGATTAGGTGTATCATATATGGTACAGTAGGTCTATGTATGAGCACAAAATACCTAAGTCAATTTACATATTATTATATTAGCTTTTTATTTATCTTTTTGTGTTTTATTGTTTTAGGTCATTGACATTACATGAAATTGCTACAGTTCTTGAGGAAGATGATGATTTTAGCAACCAGAGACAAGATTTTGATATTTTTTTTACTTCCACCTGACACCGCCAATGATTACCAAACTGACGAGGACTCGGGTGAAGAAGATAACGTCAGCATAAATAATTTGCCTGGAAGTTTGCTTCGAGCTCCAGCGGAGCTTGCTGCCTCAACCTCAATGGAAAAACCAGAAACTGAGGACCAAACCCCTCCCGAATTTCAAGAACCTTTAAAAAAACGTGTCATGAATTACAATTGGCGAAAACGAGACTTGCAGCTAAGACCTATTGTTTGGAAACCCCTTTATCATACTCCTATTGAAAGAAGCCCGATAGAATGGTTTTCTTTATTATTTTCAGAAGAAGTATTTGAGATGCTTACTATTGAAACCAATAGATACTTAGCACGTAAGCTTCTCTCTGCTGACGTCAAGATTGAAGAGATGAAATGTTTGGTAGGGATTTTGTTAGTCAGTGGCTACTGCCAAGTGAGCAGAAGAAGAATGTACTGGGAAAATGCATCTGACTCAAGAAATAGTTTGATTGCTTCAGCCTTGTCTCGAGATAGATTTACACTAATTTACTCTAATATTCATGTTGCTGATAATCTAAATTTAGATACATCCGATAAATTTGCAAAAGTTCGTCCTTTATTAAAAGTTTTAACTATGAGGTTTCTTGAGCACTGTCCACATAAGGAGAATCATAGTGTTGATGAGGCTATGGTCCCATATTTTGGTCATCACGGCTGCAAACAGTTTATTAGAGGCAAGCCTATAAGATATGGATACAAATTATGGGTTGGTGCAACATCAGGAGGTTACATTGCATGGTTTGAACCATACCAAGGTGCTTCTACATTTACGAATGCCCAATATTCCCAGCTTGGTCTTGGTGCAAGTGTGGTTTTGTCTTATGCAGATCAACTAGCAACATTAGGCTATGGAAAAAACTACCATCTCTTCATAGATAACTTTTTTACCGGTTTGCCTTTGGTTCATGAACTTACTGAGAGGGGATTTCGTGTAACTGGTACTATCAGAGAAAATAGATCTGGAAAGTGCCCTCTATTAAGTAACAAAGAAGCAAAGACAAAAGAAAGAGGCTTTTATGATTATCGCATATCTGATGATATTATAATTTGCAAGTGGCATGACAATAGTATAGTGTCAGTATGCTCTAATGCAGTTGGTGTTGATCCTGTCCACAAAACTGAACGCTATTCTCAGCAACTAAAAAAGAAAATATCTGTTTCTCAACCTCTTCTCATTCAACAATACAATAAAAATATGGGTGGAGTAGATTTATCAGATCAGAATATATCGTCATTGCGAACTAGCATTCGAGGAAAAAAGTGGTATATGCCTCTGATTCTCCATTGTATAGACATGTCTGTACAAAATGCATGGCTGCTGTACAGACATAATGGAGGGGATATCGACTTGCTAAACTTTCGACGTCGTATTGCAAACTATATTATCGATTGTAATAAACAACGCGAAAGGCCAGGTCCTAGTCGACCATCTTCAATAACATCAGACTCTCGATACGACGGCAAAGAACACTATGTCAGCAAGCAGGAAAAGAGGACCAGGTGTGGCCTATGCCACAAACAATGTCCTACAAGATGTGTCAAGTGCAATATCGGTGTCCACGTAGAGTGCTTTATTATGTATCACACCAAAAAGTAAATAAAATCTAATTAGTAAAATCATGTCTTTTTTTGCATACATATAGTCCTACTGTACCATATGTGGTACGTCCCTTCAGTCGCCCCCCCTCTTATTAATTTTTTTTTTAAATATTTTTCCCCCGGTTTTTAGGCTTTCTTGGATCAGGTTTTGTTAATGAAACATGAATTTTTCACAAAAATAATTATCGGTCTAAATGGGTTAAAACGTAAAACGGTAAAAAGGTGGCGAATTATAAGGATTTTTTCAGGTGGATTAACATTGGAACTGTCTGTATTATTACTGAATTTACGTTCTGTCCTTACTACGCATGCGCGTACGTATACGCATGGGTGCGTATGCATGTGTGGTATTTGCGTGTGTGCGTGCGTGTGCATGTGACGTGCGCGTGCGTGTGTGCGAGCACGTGAGTGCGCGAGTGTGCGTGCGGTACGTACGGTGCGCGTGCAGGCGCGGCGGCGGCGCGCGCACGGGCGCGGCGTTTTTGGTCGGCGCACGCGAGGTGGGCGTGGCGCGACTGCTGCCGCCGCTGCTTGTGCCCGCCTGTGTTAACATTCACGTACATCAAATAATATTTTCACTTAGGTGTCGATACAAATAAAACTTACGCTATTGTACGGGATCACCCGCAAAAATGTTTTCTCTATAACACACTTAAGTGGCTAACGTGTTTTGTACACACTAGTCATATTATAAGTATTAAGCTATATTATAGTTATAACGCAAATGGGTCGGCTCGGCCGTAGAAGGACAATGCTGTTGAGTTATATATGGGAGTATAGAAAAGAGAACGGGAACGTAAAGTGTCTCCGCTTGCTTAGTTCTCAGGGGTGACAACACATCTGCAATTAGAAACTTAATAGAGGATAGATATCTATCAGCCACGACATTCACTGATCATCAAGGCTAAACCTATGCTCGTTTGTCACCCTTATTCTGTAAAAAGTAATATGATGATGGCTGAATAAAATGGAGAGAATTGACAATTCTCTTAATAAATGGCAAAACTCAGAAAAAGTTCAAGGTATATATTTTTACTTTTAATAATAAAACTACTCAAATGAATTAGTTCCACTTGAACTTTGAGTATTAAACCAACTGGAGAGGAAATGCGCGTTAATTCCTAAACAAAAAGTATGTCACTTTCAGGGGGACGCCAGGAAAACACACCACTGTATACTTCTTCACTACAAAAGCAAAATTGAATCACGTCACTATACACGCACACTACTCCATTTGTGTTTGTGTTCATTGCAATTTACACATTGTTGATACCCTGGTGCCGCTATCTCTACATGCGTAAGCAACGTAGGGCGAGGACTACGTCTAAATTTTTATCGATAAACAAATCACTTCAGTTACCACACATCCACATAAGTTCAGCATTGGTTAAGTGATTTTTAGAGTGCGCGCAAGATAACTCTGCGCGCGGCCGAAATCGGAACTAATCGTGTGCCACCATCTTATTGTTCATGGCGAGTGTCAAGACAGTGTGTTAGGTGTCGTGTTGTTATTAGTTTTTGCAGTAAATAACCGTCATTATTATACCGAAAGTGATTAAAAGTGCTGTGCAGCGATATTTTAAGTTCAAACGTGCTTGTGAGGAAGAACGAAACAACAACGGGCCTGTAATACCGTTTTCTAATGTTAAAGCCCGCGGTGCATATATGACAGGTAACTTTTAAGTCTGCCATAACAATAAAATTCCCCATTTTTTGGGTTCGTTATTCGTTTTTAATTTTCCTCTTATCATTGATATCATGTATGCATATGAATTACTTTTTATTTTGTTTTAGGCGTTTCACGCAAGTAACTTTAGAGGGCAACGTAGCAGCAGCTTCATCTTCTAATTGAAGGGAAAAAATATGATTGAGACGATTTTGATATGTATAAGATTATGACGCTTTAAGACATTTAATTCAATTGTTTTACGTCGTGAAGAAAGAGATTCCTACGATCAATAAACTTCGGATGGAATTGAAAACTGATATTGATTTTAAATATGGTAGAACATCGATGATGAGTTTTTTAAAGACTATGAGCTACAAATACAAAAAGTGCCGGTCTAAATGAAAAGTATTGAAAGAACGCAGTGATATTGGACAGCAAAACATATTCTGAAATTGCGCTAGGCTAATAAAAACCTACAGTTTCCATGGACTTTTAATTTCGTTTTTTATAATAAATATTATAATGATATTTCAGTTCTGTTTCAAAATACTCTTTTGAATAATTAATTATAGACAAAATATCAGTACTCATTAATCAAAGTAATAGTCATTTCTAATACGCTAATATCTTTAATTATTACGCGCGCAGAGAGATCTTGCGCGCACTATAGTGCTTTTTCATTCCGCCCTTCACAAGTCCACAGCTGAATATAGACCTCCCCCAAAGAATGCCACAAAGCACGTTCGTGAGTCACCTGCATCCATCGACTTCCTGCATATCTTACCAGGTCGTCACTCCATCTAGTGGGGGGTCTCCCTATACGTCGCCAACCGGTACGAGGCTGTCACTAAAGAACCTTTTTTCTCAATCAGTTGTCGGTTATTCAAACTATATGGCCGGCCTATTGCCGGTATCATCACTTGTATAGTGGCGTACGACGCGCAGCAACTAGTTTTGTATAACGGATATTATCGGACTCTCGTACCTTTGATACTCCCCTGTATGCTTTGCGATGCCGTCTTTTTTGGTTTAGTACTCAAAGTAGTTGAATAATGAATATTTTTATGCACTTTATTTACTAATTGATAGTATATTAATTTAAGTTTGAAACGTATGAGTGAGTTGGAATGTTGGTTGGTCGTGTATGTGCGTGTGCACCTTGGCGGGCGGCTGCTTGGACGGCTTGGGCTGCGGCGGCGGCGGCGGCAGCTTGGCGCGCGGCAGCAGCAGCGCGATGTCTGCGTCGGGGTCGCGGATCATGGCCGCTATCAGGCTCGCCGCCTGCTTCGTCGCTTCTGCGGAGCCCCTGCGCACACACACACACACACAGCTGCATCACCACACCTCCACTAGTCTCAAAATATTTACTATTCTAAGTTATATACCGGTTACGGTTACAGCGTACACCTATTAAAAGTCCACATCTGAGCATAGGCCTCTCCCGCAGATTGCCTTATAGGGAAATTTTTTGATATAGCAGCCACAATTGGCAGGCGGATTGGCAACAGCAGTTTTTTGCAATTTTTACCATCCGTCAAGTGTAATATCCCTTTACAAGATGCAGGAGTGTACAAGTTAGATTGTGAATGTGATCTCTCTTACATAGGTCAAACAAAAAGATCTATAAAAACCCGCGTGAAAGAACATATAGCTGATGTGAAGTACCGACGCTCCGGGAAGTCTGCAGTCTGTGAACATGTTCAAGATCGTCCTCACCATTATATCAGATTCGATAAACCACATACCCTCGCAAAAGAACACCGATTCCTACCAAGGATGATAAGCGAGGCTATTGAAATTAAAAAACATCCTAATTTAAATAGAGAAGATGGTTGGGTGCCGCCATCTGCTTGAGATCCTATATTTAACATAACTAAACCCAAACCCAAGCATACCAATGCATGACTTCAAGATACTGTAAGCTCGTTTTGCGTAAATCGGACCAAAAATTATAATTCAAAAACTGAAGGTAGCCGGGCTAACAATGATATTGGGACGTCAAACATCTCAATCCCCCCCTGTGACCATGGGTGCTGTAAAGCACCCGAAACGTCGGGAATTGGACTTACCTAGTCGGACCTTGTCTCAGATAAACATACTCATCAACAACTTCGATCTCAGTGCTCCCAACAACCACCGGCATAGGTGTGACATGGAAATTACACATGATTTTTGTTTTGTCCATGTTCATCTAAGACCTATCCATTGGGAGACACTATTGAGGCCATTGAGCAATGTGCTTAGGTCCTCCAGCGGTCCTGCCATAAGCACTACATCGTTGGCAAATCGAATGTGAGTGTTGTACTCGCCATTAACGGTAATACCGTATCCTTTTCAGTCTATTACCTTGAAAACGCCTTACAATGCACTGAGTTTCGAGATATAACGTCACCCTGTCTTATACCTCGTGTACAAACGTGTACAAATACTTCAGCAATTGGATATACCGACAGTCCACTTGGCACCGCTGAAGGGACTGCAGCACCGCCTAAATTTCGACGGAATTAAACGCTTTCTCGTAGTACACATACGTAAGATAAGGAGGCATATTGTACTTTTTGGACTTCTGTACAATTTGCCGAAGGGTATGTATGTGGTCTATGGTACAAGAGCCTTTTCGGAAACCAGCTTGTTCGGGAGGCTGTAAGTCGTCGAGTCCGCGTGCGAGACGATTCGTAATAACGCTCGAAAACAGCATGTAGACGTTGCTCAGAAGGGCCTTTCTTGAAGAACAAGATCACTGCACTTCTGCTCCACGCCTCCGGAGTAGTGCCACCATGGAGGACGGAATTGAAGAGCTTCTGAAGGACTAGTATCTGTTTTCCATTCGTTTTCAGAAGCTCCGCTGTAATTCCATCCTCGCCAGGGAACTTGTCATTTTAAAGGCGCTGGAGAGCCATTCTAATCTCGCTCAGACAGACGTTCGGGATATCATCGGAAGTGTCGGATACGACTTGCTCTTGGATCGTTACTCACACTTGAGTGTGGCTCCAACAATGGCATCATTAAATATTAGCCATCAATTTGCTTAAATGAAATTTTTCTTAATTGATGTTCATTAATTTAAATGGAATAGGAAACTATAAATATTACAATATTATCATCTAAATGAAGTTAAAGTACAAGCATAAATAGAAAATTAATATTTTAAATAATAAAATTTATAAAAATAGTACACAATAGGCTATGTGGGTTAGTTATCAGTAGTACCTAGTAGTACCTATATACTACAGCGCGGGTTTTCTGTTCTGTTCAAATCTAAGTTAGAATCAATGTTTGTGTGACAATACAAATTACTTTCATGTATTACATTTATTATATTTTTTTATTATCTTATCACATAAGCATCCAATGCAATATGCATCAGGAATAGTAAAATAGGACGGATGGGTTTCTCTATGTTAATAGCAAACAGGGGGACATCATATAATTTATAGAAATCATATGTATCTAAGCATTATTTTCTCTTTTACATCATGAGGCGAAATTGTACTCACTTGATGGTGATGATGCGCTCTCCCTGACCCTTGCCCTGCTTATCGACCTCGATGTGTGCGCCGGTGGCGGAGCGGATGGCGTTGATGTTGCTGCCCGCCCGCCCGATCACCCGCGAGATTGCGTGCGACCCCACCGACACCTTCTTGCATCTGTAGTATTAGATAAATTACTATAGTCAACCAAATCTAAGAAATACCTTTTGACGATTCACATTAATCATTCCTCAATAACTTTGCACAATCGTACTCACACGATTTAAAATAACCTTTTACCTAAATCCGAAGAATTATGAAGTTACCTATATTTCATTACATCGTGTATAGTTTTTTATCACTAATTTAAATTCTAATCTTTCAAACAAAGCAAGATATTAAAAATATCCAATATCACCTTTTTTACTTGACGTCGATTCAATATGTCGCTATGCACCTTTCCATAGTGTTCACATGATTAAAATTCATTGTTATGCGAATTATCGGCAAAAATATTCAAATAATCGGTCAAAATGGTCAAATAATCGAATCATTTTTTTAATGTATGGATTTGTTTAATTAAATTTTTATTTTTAATATTCCCTAAATTACTTGATTTTTTTTTTACTTTGTAATGTATATAGTATATATAAAGTAATGCCGCGCTGAAAAAACCACTACGTAATTTCAATCTCCCGCCATTTCGGAAGCTTACTGTGCGTAATTTAGTGATTTTGTGTTGGTCTTCTTATTTTGTTACTCGGTTTTAACTTTTTGGACTGTTTCTTCTATATTCGTTGAAGCATATGCCCATATCACAAAGGATGATTGTACAAAAGTGGTATAAAAAACAAAAAATTGATTATGGATTACTTTTAAAGAGACATTAATTTTGACTGCATTATTGAAAATCAAATAATATACAACATTATAAAATGTAAGTTACCCTTTATATGCTCCCTCCATCTCTAACGACAGGACACTTCACATTTCTAAGAAGGTTTTAAAATTGGAAACTTAACATGTTATCGAAATATTTATTTCATAAACATGCAAGTTTCTTAACAATGTTTTCTTTTACCACCACCAAGCATGGATGAAACAGTATTTCAAAATGCGATTCCCCAATTCAGCAGCATCAGAAGGTATCAAACAAAAATATAATAAATTATTACGCAGAACATATTATACTACGGGAATTGCTTAAGCAACAATGACTTCTTAACTGTTCGAGATCACTCCATCTCACTATGTACTTAGGTCTCATAAGACTGTTTAGCAAAATAATCGTTAGCCCGTGTCATCTCCGATAGAATGACGGTATAACTATTTCGTATATACTATGTACATATGCAAGGTAGAAGACGTCTGATTATACAATCTCCTTACATGCGATTTTATAGGAAAGGCATAATAGCCTCCTATAAAGCTTTTAATACTAGAACAGAATACAATGACTACACCTTCAATTCTTCACTCATAGACTTGTCGGAGTACATACTCCATATATTATATCCTTGTTACAAAGCAATACAGTACTGACCCGGGCTCCACGGTGGAAAGTGTCTGTACGCTGGACTTGCGCACCACCTCCTTCCAACCTTCTTCGCGCCGTCCTCCCGCATTAGCGCCTTTGGGTGACGTGCTCTTTCCTTCCGCCTCCCATCTACAAGCAAGTCAAATTGCAAATTCAATTAATCTAGCCAAATAAGAAATAACAACTACATATTTTTGTAACATAATCTTTTTAAACTAACCAATATAAGCATAACATTAATAGAACTACATTTTAATTGAATCGCAAATAAAAGACAAAAAAAAACAAAAATCAATGTCCACTGTCAGTATTCACAGCATGCAACAAAAATGTAAGACTATTGAATACAACATGCAATGTAGTTAAGTTGTTACAAAATATTTTTGATGAAAGGTATTTTACATAATATTTCGACAACTAATCAGTGAACAATTTCATGGTAAGTGGCTAGCCCATCACCTACACAATCACAAAGCCAATATCACATTACTTAGTCGCATTTTACGATATGCTAGGTAAGGTAACACAGTTGGCACATACTTTATTGTTATAAGTCTCACATAGGAACCATGAAGTCCCAGACCAAAAAGGGGCAAGTTTTAATGCTTTATTTTTATTGTCAAAAATACAAAACAATGGCACTGACTTTTATTTCTCCGTATACCGAAAATGACCAACTTACTGATGGTTGGCGTGGACCTTTTTGTTTTTGTCAGTCATATCAAGGTCATCTTTCTCCACGTTATGCCTAGTGGATTCGAAAACTTGGCTCTTTCTAGAGCTACTGCCAAATTTGTTTACATTCTGTACTGTAATACTCTTAGGAATATCTTCTTCAGGTTTTCTGTAACAACATTTTGACTTATATCACAATTTGAATGAAAGCCAGTAAAGCTAGACTAGATGTTCTCTATATTAGTCTTAATTTAAAAAAAAAACAGACATCGCATAAACGCTGATTTCCCATCTAAAATGCGAGTGTTGTTATTATACGAGGGCGATACTGAAAGTTTTTAGAACTGGCCACTTGTAAACGATATAATAAAAAAATAAGTTCACATTTTGAAAATGGAACTCAGCCAATATTATTTTGTATGTATTGGGTGCGTTTGGCAGAAAAAAGCGCTAGCAAGCGCTTGTAAGCAAAATGGCGATCGTAAGCGGTAAGCGCTGTCAAATCGTAAGTAGCTATTTTCTTCCAGGACACGATGTTAGTTTTAACCGGGGAACCTAACCTAATTTAAATATATGTTTGTAAAGTATTCATATTAAAAACTTACTGATCATGAATTTTTAATAACATGTATATGTTTATTCATGTCAATATATTACTTAAAACTAATATTGCACAAAACAACTTATAAACTCTACTTCAAAACAAACAAATTTAAAATTAAATAAGCAAAACGGCGGATTGTGTCAGCGCTACTGAAGTAGCAATCGTGTCCTGGCCGAAAACTATTTCAGCGCTTGTAAGCGCTTGCTAGCGCTTTTTTCTGCCAAACGCACCCATTGTATTAGTTTGTTATTTGTTTACGATTTGGCGGCAAATTGAAAATTGTCCGTGTCACGTTAGCATGAATTTAACGCAAGAAAATTTTCGTACAATGCTTTTTTATAACTTTCGGTGTCATTTAAGGCAACAAGAAAGTTATGATAGACTTCGGTTGGCCTTTCACGATAAAGCCCCATCTTGTTCCAATCTTCACAACTGGTTTAATGAGTTTAAGCGTGGTCGCGCTAATCTCATCGATGATCTGCGCGAGGGACGGCCTTCTACGGCGACGACTGAAGATAACATCAGTGTTGTAGGGCGTATGATAAAGACTGACAAAAGTGTGACTTATAAGCAGATTCGGACAAGCTTAGGCATCGGTATGAGTCAAGTGCACAAAATCCTCCATGAAAATTTAGCGGCCAGGAAGCTTTGTGCCCGGTGGATACCTCATAATTTGACAGAGGCCCAAAAACTCCGTGGTGTTGAATGGTGTTGTGAAATGATTCAAAGATTTAACGGAGGTAACTCAAATGCTGTGTTCGATATATTTACGGGTGACGAAAGCTGGATTTACTGTTATGATCCTGAAACTAAGAGACAGTCTGCTGTCTGGGTGTTTCGTTCAGAGGAGTTGCCGACTAAAGTGAAGAGAGGGCGAAGCGTGGGAAAAAAATATGGTGGCCTCGTTCTTCGGAAGGACAGGTCATTACGTAACAATTGTTTTAGAGGATCTAAAAACAGTTTCTGCAGAGTGGTACAATAACAATTGTTTGCCACTTGTATTGGAAAAAGTTCGGGAGGAACGACCTCGCACTAAGATCCACCATCACCACGACAATATCTCGTCGCACACCGCCAGGCAAACAATCGACTACTTGGCGACATTAGACGTAGAATTACTGGGTCACCCGCCCTATAGCCCCGACCTCGAACGTTGCGATTTTTATTTATTTCCGAAAATAAAAGAAACTCAGAGGGAAACGTTTTATGGACGCCGAGGAAGCAGTGACTGTGTTTCAAAATGCCGTCGAAGAGACCCTTAAGGACGAGTGGGCAAAGTACTTTTCTTAGTGGTTCCATCGGATGCAGCGATGTATTTATGTAAATGGACACTATTTTGAAAGGATATAATAAAACTAATAACTTGCTAGTTTGTTCAGTTTTTGATTTTCTAAGAACTTTCAGTGTCACCCTCGTACGAGAGAGACATAGTGAGAAAATGGATTTTACTTGCTTGTCATAATTAATTTTGCTTGGTAGTCACACTGCGAATTTCTGTTACATTGTTCAATCAGCTGTTGCAATAGAGCAAAAATGATGCCGTTTGACTTAGGCTAATCTTAATTATAACTAAATTTTGATCCCTAATCAAGAACAGATGGTGTCTATGAGATGTGACCACACACAAGCCTACAAAAGATTTATATAAGCCAATTCTTGACCACCTGCTTGTATGAGGTAATGAGACCCTAGCCCTAGACTAGTAAATCGCAACTGCCTAAACGTAAATATGTTATTCACTGATGCCATGAAGACATCCAGTTTGTAATCGGGCGGATAGATAGATGTCGCAAAATTGTACCACTCCTCTGCTGCAAGCAATACGAATGACAAAGAGAACCGTTTGGTACGAATGTGTGGAAATATCGACCACAACTAAAGGTGGTTCTTCACTTAAAATTTACGGTGATTCACTAAAATCATTGTAAATTGATTGAACATGATTTCGAATATTTTAAAAATTGTAACACAATAACAATAATTGTGGTGTCTCATGACATGGTTTTGAACAAGATTCATGTAACTGGTGTACTATACAGTGCGCACAAAGAAACCAATTACCTATTCTATTTAAGCAGATTTTCACAGGTAACATAAAATTAAATGTCTCAAACAGAGGCTTAACAAGTATAGGTATTGCAATAGTTAATCTTCCAAACATGATCAATATGGAAAATCTTGCCAAATTCAAAGCCTATATCCTGAAGTGGTATGTTTATGGATTATTAGTTTTAGTTTTTACCATATTTTAAATTGTAAAATTATAAAAACGAAACAGTTGAGTATTTAGCCATTATTTTAATCTTCTTAGTAGAATTACCTTAGACTAGATTTTAATGTTCTAAGAAACACAAAAAAAGCTTTGTTTAGTGTTATGCTAAGGAAAAAACATGCAATTTGCTAAAACAAAAATAGCTGTACTAAATTAAGCAAATAGTTACATCAATGTATCTCATAATGTTTGTTTTTTATAAATAAACTTTACACGGGTAACTTCTGAGTCCAATTGTGAATCTAAACCATTCTCAGAGTAGTGCAGGCAGTGTAGATACTGAATCTTAGACTAATTGATAGTACAGTTACTAAGTATTTGGCTTCGGCGCTGCGGATTTCAAGATTAACTACATAAAACGAAAGAAGAGATTGTATGACCTACAAATAATTGATCTAGGTTTGGATGCTTATCCATGTGTAATTATGTTTTCAAACACCTCCATGACATAAAAAATGACTGCAGTACATAAATACAGTCTGTTTGAGAGGGCATAATGAATGGTGCAAACGGTTGCGCATACTTGCGCTCGTTGCGACGCTCGCTGGCTTGTGGCGCGGCGGGCGCGGGCACGGGCGATGGCTTCACAGGAGTGGCGGGGGGAGAGCTCGGCGCAACATTCTCCTTCTCTTGCTTCTTGTCAACCTTGCCGACGCTCTCCTTCTCCGCTTTCGTTTCTAACTTTGTTTTGACCTTTAACAATAACTCAATTATTGAAACGGAATAAAATATCTATTTTTCGACACAAAAACATTGAAATATATTTTCACATCTACTACTGTTTCAAAATCAGGTTTCTTTGACTTAAAGGCATCCCCTTTTTAATCAAGAGGATACTTAGGCAGCAAGCGATTTTAAGAATAGGCTGTTAATAGATAGAACTACTGTTATGCGTTTTGCCCGAGGGACCGAGCTAGGCAACCAAGGAGAACTACTGCAGCTCTGATTGACTAAACCCGAGAAAAATTTATGAAATCATCATCTTGTATTCTGTTTCGTTTTCCAAGACTAGGCGACTGTCCATATTTTTCTTCTATTGTTTGCTTAATCGATTGATGGAGATAAATCTTGAGGGATTTATGGTTGGCTATGTGTTAACATTTGGCTTCAGCATATTGTGTAAATGTATCAGTATTAATTATAAGTCAATAATTTTAATTCCAGAGTGATTCCCAGTGATTTTCACGAGCAAACAGAAATTCACAAATTGCACAGTTGATGAGACAGAGGAAAATGAAACAGATGGGTAGTATCTGCCTGATAGCAGCTGAAATTATTAAAAATCTGCGGTTAAGACCCGCCTGTGTCAGGCAAGTCAACTATCTGCAAATATCTTTCTATGAAGCAATCTATGGGATAGTATGTTCAACAGTGAGCAATCACTAAGGTATTCACTTCTAATATAATAATTGTCCATATCTTTTTTAACATGCTATAATTAGATTGCATGGACCAATTTAATAGGACGTTTGATTGCACACCAATTCTTGTTGCATCCTGGCCAGGACACCATCATCAATCAAATCCAAGCATATGAATTTATAGCAAGCGAACGAAGGAGGCTAGGTCGAGCAGTGGAACTTCACTGGTTGATAAAGAAGAAAAATCATATTTTCAAATTCAAAATGATAAATAGTTATTGTTGACTTACTTTATCTGGTTGTTTCCTGGGCGGCGGAGCGGACGGCGCAGGTGCAGTCTTGTCGTCCTTTTTCTTTTTCTTGCTCTTAGCAGTTTGAGCTGGTGGCGCTTTCACATCAGATGAGGAACAGGAGCCCTGCACATAGTTTGAAGTTAATTATTTTAATTATTATATTTCAATTAAATATTAATTATATAAAGTTTAACTATTTTCAATTAATTCAAATAACAAAATAAAAACTAATTTAACAAAAAGTACACTAGTTGACTAATTTCAGCACATGGTCTTTACTGTCTAGAAGCTTGTTTGGGGTACCACCAAGCAACAGTGTTTCTATTATGTACCACTTTGAAGAATTTAGAGAGTCACAATAACAGGCAGAAGCATTCCATTTTACAATTAGTCTTTAGTAGTATAGGTCGCGTCACGGTTTAATAGTGCTCGTCGACAGTGAAGGGGCTGCGCATATGTATATTCGTGCACAAAATTATGAAGTGTTGTTCTAACGAAGGGGTGATTGGATAGCGGGCGGATGAAGTTCTAACAACTAAATATCTCATATTAAAAAAATGTTAATAATAATTTGTCTGTAATTAAAAATTTTGCGCAACTGAAAAACAATTGAATTTTTTTAGAATGTTTATGTAGGTAGTGATAAATAAGCGTCAAAAGTGAAATAGCTCTAATTTTTAATATTAAATTTGACAGTAAAATGAAAGATACTCATTAAATTCTTCTAGTACTACTACTAACTAGTTTGACTAAATAGTCGTTCTACATGAGTTGCAGAAGCCATCTACACATAATCAGGTCTGTTATTCCTGTTAGGCTTAGGTGGAGTCGTTGTGTGTTACTTTAACATATAAAGTGAACGAATGCTAAAGTACTTATATAAGACTTAAATTGAAATGATAGGCTTCGCTACCTGTGAATTTGCGTCGATGCCGGAGTCGCCCTCCTCCTTCGTGACGGGTTCGTCGTCGGGCTCGCCGCCCTCCGAGCAATCGCCGAGGGCTTTTTCACAGTAAAGAGAGTTTTTGTCGTTTTCCGCTTGGAGCTTTCGCCTCTCCTCCTAAATACGAAAATAAGCTTAAGTGCTAGATTGGCAATTATTTGATAATTGTAAAAAAAATATTTGCAAAAAAATAGATAAATGATGAATGGCGTTAACTTCAAACTAAACAGAAGCTGCGTAAGGATATTTTATAGTCCCCAAAAGCACCCACAATTGCACAACCATGTGATCTTTAGTCCTAAATCTTGCGTAAGCCCAGGATGGGATCACAGCTGGGGTCAACATTTATGTCAGATTGTTACGCTAGAACTAATGAGTGTGTTTGCAGTTACGCACACACTTGTGACTCTATCTCTATAACAGTTGATAATTCAAAACGAAGATATCCACAGGAGAGCCAGAGTAGAACATACGTTTTCGAGTGGTAGCCTCGTACTCGAAATCGAAATGTAGGGCGGCTATTTACTGGCTGGAGTAATGACCTGGTAGAACACGCAGGAAGTATATGTTTAGGAGTGCACTTGTGAAGGGTTGTAATGATGATGACGATAATGATGATGATAATCATGATGATGACATTTGATAACTACTCAGTGATAAGACGGGAGTACGTCACAAGGGAGAAGAAATGTACAAGGAAGTTTCGGTGGGTGGATTTCTGCTCCCGTGTAACCTTTTGAGGTTCGAAGTGGATTTAGATATGTAAAAGTGTTTTCGTATATACAAAAAAAAGCTAACAAAATGTAATATAGCGCTTAATATGAAAAAATTGTAAGAAGTAGTGTGGAGCACCTTCTTCTCCATCTTCTTCTTCTTCTTGCGCTCGCGGCGGCGCGCGGCTGCCAGGCGGCGGCTCTCCTCGCGGCAGCGCTCGGCGTCCAGCTCCTCCAGCAGGATGGTCGCGTTCTGGTTGGCGCGCGCCGCCTGCGTCTCCTTGGCCGCGCGGATCACGCGCACGCACTCCTGGCACTTCTCCAGCACCTCCTTGTCCGATATCGTGCAGATGTACCTAACCACACAACCTTGCTTTAAAAACAATTTCCACTCACCTCCACAATAAGAAAATGTCGACAACAGTCTAAGAAATACGCAGTCTTAGACTTAAATATAAAAAAATATTAGCTACGCCACGCCATGTAAATATATATTATGAAGAAAAAAATACGGAACATTTCTCGGCTTTTTTAAACAATAATTATGGTTCTTCAATTATTTACAATAATAGGAGGTATTATACAATACATAAAATTTTTATTTAAACACAAACTTATCAATATATCTCAATCTCAATAAAAAATCATTTCAAGTCATATTATATCAATTGTCTTTTAATACACTAACCTAGTCATTTCCTGGTCGGAAGGGAATTGCGTGACGACTCCTACCATCCACTTGACTACTTTAGTATGGCCTTTTCGGAAGGCGGCCATCAGGCAAGATACCTGAAAGCATTTATAGTCTAGATTAGAAAATATATTCTTTTTATAAAATTATAATAACTTCATTTCATATTAAAGAACTGAATACAATTAAATGATAGCTATTACATAAATAATACTTACAAATTATAAAAAAAAAAGGAAAAATCTTGCACAAATTGTTGAAAAATCTTTTTAGTTATATTTACGTTAATTTATTCATATCTCACTTAACTATAAACGCTTTCCAACTATACCATGTCAATTATTCAGTTTTATACATCAAATTCCAAATATCAACTAGTGATTTTTGGATTTTGTTTTCATTGCATGCATAGGTATTTGACCTTGAACAGATAGCGTGATCAAAATAAGTTTTAAGCCTATTTCATATAGATCAAATGTAGGAAAATATTTTTAAGTAAAACCGTAACAACCTTTCTATTGTCTTGTGAGTCGATGTCGGCGCCAGCTGCATATAGCATTTCCACTACAGCTAGGTGGCCGCCATTAGCCGCCAGCCACAGCGGCGAGTTGCCTTTCTTGTTTTTTACTTCTACCGCTGCTCGCCTACGTTATTTTAATAAAATATGTAAAAGGAAAATAGTATTATGATTACAAAATAAAAATAAAAATTACTTCATATTAGTGATCTAAAGTAACAAGTATCATATAGCTCAATTGACAAGCAATGGAGAAGAAAGGTTCTTGTTGACAGTCAAATCGACAAAGCAGACACCATACTAGATGAGGTATTATATCGCTTAAGACTGCAATGTAGCAAGCTACTTTAAACAGTGGCCTTGTGATGGGCAACAAGAACAGCTTAAATTACGATATTTTTTTTAAGATAAAGTACTAAATGAAGCGTTTTAAGGCTTAATTTGATTATTCTTTGTAACCTTTTTAATGTTTATGTTAATGTTATTATATTCTATTAATTTCGAATAATCTAGTCGCCGTGTAGTGGCGGCGTGAAAATATCCACTACCCTTTATCGTCTTGTTAGTGTCTTGAGAGGCGATAGGTAGAAATTAAGAAACTGAAGCAGAAGATGGGAACCGGTATCTTGCTGATAACACAACTCAAAATATGAAAACTATTGTAGTTGCCAACCGGTTACTGCTACAGCAAATCCTTCCTATGAGTAGGCCTGTGTTCACCAGTGGACTTTTGATTGTGACATATATATTTGATTATAACAGAATAGGGGTTGCACCTCTGCAGCAGCAGCTCGACGAACTTGGTGTGTCCCTTGTCGGCGGCGATGGTGAGCGCGGTGTCGCGCGAAGAGGGCACGGGCGGCGCGTTCACGTCGGCACCCTTGTCAAGCAGCACGCGCCCCACCTCCACGTAGCCGCCGCTCGCCGCCTCCATAAGCGGCGTCAGCCCTGTCTTCGCACGGTGCTCCACGTTGGCCTTGCGGTCCAACAGCAGGCTCACCACCTCGTGACGACCTGCGTTTGTTCATATACACACTACTTTACACTAACCTAACGCGCACTACCAAACTGATTCAAATAGCCCAAATCCAATTTGCATGCACTTGTCACTGTAGATAACCTGGAGCCTTCACACCAAAACACAAAGGTACACCCATAGAATACTATAATACATACATTATAGAACGGGGGAGTGGGCGGGGCCCGTGTAGCCACTAAAATGTCACTAACACGTCAATTCACACATATAAATGTCAACACGAGATGTGTTTTGACGTTACAATTGTTTCCAAATTTCGCATGCAAATTATTTAGAAAATGCCAAATTGCACGCTATTTACAAATAAATATGTATTAAAATCCGTCTGTCAACACAGCGAATCGGGTTTGTAGTAGTGATAATACGACGTTATTGCTTGTATATGTGTGCTCCCGGCGACGCCTATCCTCGTACAAAATAAGGTTGACAGCCATTCTACTGTGTATTATAGTATTCTATGTGTACACCCAATGCCGCTTAGCAGCAGAAACAGGTAACAGTGATGCCTACACATACGCAATTTTAGACATGTCTGGATTTACGCGTACATTTCAGGATCAATATCTCGATCGTATATAGTATTATTAGTAGGTTACCATGTAGCCCCATATCGCCCAGTGGGTGTCGTAAGGATACGACAGAGAGTAACAAACCAGGAGATAGACGACAGAATCTTCCTAATAACAACAAAAAGTAACTGTACTGTAAACATGACAATGTAACAAATATTCTTCTACTAGAAATATATAGGGAGGTCTATGTTCAACAGTGTACTTTTGATAGGTTGGTAATAGTATATATTAGAGCAGGAGTGGACAAGCTCTGAGCGTGTGGTGCCACGGCGCACCTTGGAAGCAGGCGAGCGTGAGCGCCGTGTTGCGGTTGGTCTCGATCTGTGCGTTGATGTCGGAGCCGCAGTCCAGCAGCAGGCGCACGGCCGCCGTGTGCCCGTTCATAGCCGCCAGCATCAGTGGCGAGATACCCAGCTTCGAGCCCGTGCGCGAGTTGATCTCCGCCTGTGCATACAATAAAATAATTAATAATTTGCTTCATATAAATGAATCAGATGATTTTATTATTTATGGTCAAATTAATTTATTTAACAAATGTTTCATTTATTTTAAACTGTTTATTTTATTTGTTAAAAATTAAGTTACCTATCTTTATAACGTGCGACACCTCAGTGATACTTGTACTCCCAGGAGTACGCTAGCCTGTTGGCATGTAACCTTGAGTTAGTGGCGGAGCCCTGCCGTTACTAACGTCTTTTTTCCTATAATTAGGTTGCTATTGCAGCCTATGGACATCTAACACTAACTTCAAAGAAAAAAAGCTACAATATGTGATGTTATTGTCTTGTTATACCAACGTGATGACATATTTTTTCAAGACTTGTTTGTTGTTTGTTCTTCACGACACAGCAGAAAACCCTACAAGTAATGTCCTTTTAAACAAAAAAAATGGCGAAGCGAACTCTCGGTACCTGGTGGTGCAGCAGCAGACGGATGATATTAACGTAGCCGCCGGACGCAGCCAGCGACAGCGGCGTGTAGTCGGACACATTGCGGTGCTCCTTGTTGGCGCCGCGGCTGAGGATCAGCTCCACCACCTCGTAGCGGCCGCCGCTGCAGGCCAGCGAAAGTGGCGTGTCCTTGGTGCGCTCTGACTGCGCCTCGATGTCCGCGCCGTGGTTCAACAGGATCTCCACGATCTTCTCGTGGCCCGCCGTCGCCGCCAGGATAAGCGGCGTGAAACCCTACACACGAACAAATCGCACTTTATAGATATATAAATAGATATTTATAACACTTATCAGAACGTTTTCAAATGTTATATATTTTTAGTCATAAACTATTGAACGACATTGTCACAATAAAATTGCCTCTCTTTATCGAATTTTTAACATTGTAAAACGTCTTTTGTAATTTTTTTATGTAACTATTTTAGAATGAATACATAAAGCATTTTGGAACAAAAGTTAATTCTGTAACAAAAAGAAAGAAATTAATTTATTCATCAATACCACACACATGGCTTAATAAAATAACAATAAAAGTGATGGGATGTAAAGGTTTTGGAAAGTGGTGCAGCACAGTAATCTACAGTGCTGGTAATTCTGACATAACCATAGAAATGTATGATTGCACTGATAGTTTTGTACTAACATTAGAACATACAAATAAGTAGCCAAACACTATCAATTAGTTCTTTGTAATAAGATCTGTAATTAATTTTAGATTTTATCATCAACATCATTATCATAAACCCACTGCTGAACGTAGGTTAACATTCCCCCAAGGTATGCCATGAAGCAAAGCTGACCTGAGCCGTACTGTACTCGTACCGTACCAGTAAGCAATGTAAAGAAATAAATAATCAAAAAGTAATAATAAATATGTAAGGTAAAACTACAAGACGTAAACAAGAAAACAAATGACTAATAGGTGTTGTGTATGCTCATATAGATTTTTATCTATGAAATATGAATATTAATATTGTTTTTGTATGCGTAAGCCCGTGAGTCAAAATTATGATAGAGTATGGTGACAATGGAAATTAAACTGAGAAAAATTGCTTGCAGTGATCTAAAAAATAATTAATGTGTTGTTTGCAAAGCAGTGGAGGTACTCGGTTTCTACAAAAGCATCTATGTTATTTTTTGTGAAATAAGGGTGACAAACGAGCACATAGTTCATCTGATGGTAAGTGGCACCGTCAGCTCTGAGGAGTCATATAGAATGCCTTAAATGCCAGTAAAAAGAGTCTCCAGTTCTCTACACTCGCTATACGAAACACAACAGCATTAAGCTGCTATTTCAATGATCTAAAAAATAATTAATGTGTTGTTTGCAAAGCAGTGGAGGTACTCGGTTTCTACAAAAGCATCTATGTTATTTTTTGTGAAATAAGGGTGACAAACGAGCACATAGTTCATCTGATGGTAAGTGGCACCGTCAGCTCTGAGGAGTCATATAGAATGCCTTAAATGCCAGTAAAAAGAGTCTCCAGTTCTCTACACTCGCTATACGAAACACAACAGCATTAAGGGGAAATATAACCTCAAATGGCTTAGCAAGATCCTCCGTTATGCCGAAAGTATTGCAGCATTAATTTTGAAATAAATATATGGTAAAGTTGAGGATTAATGTTAAGGTTTATGTTAGACGAAAACACGATTCCGTAAAATTTTCTCGATAGAAAAAAAATCCAAAGTTACCTCCAAACTGAACAATAAACCGCTGTTATTCATAAAATACTTTAAATAAGATCATGAAACTTTGCATACTAACTGAACTAACCATAAAGCAGTGCTTATGTTATTTACTTTTTTTAAAATATCATTATTTTCACTGTAAAAAGAAATTACCTAAACTATCGGCGCGTAAGCTTGGTTCCTGTCGCTCCGTTAGTATTGCTCCGGCTTTTGAAGGGAGAAGTTGTGTCGCTTACGATCAGAAAACACATTACGCAACAGGAAGACGTAAAATTAAAATGGGAAATAACCGCTATAAAAATAAGAAGCGACTGGGTTGGCGTTAAGAAACAGGCATATATATGATAAACATAATGAAATAAGTATCTAACGACCTATCTACTTAGAGTATTAGTGATTACAAACATGTCGGTACATAGCATACGACGCGCGGGGAAGTGGGGGCGAAATTAGAATTTGAGCTGACTTACTCTCACCTCTTAAGCTGCTATTTCAACTGGTATTTTGTGTCTGTGTAATCCTTCCTCGGCCGAGCCGAACCACTCGTGCTACAACTATAATATAGCTGCAGCAGTAGAGGCTACACATAGATTATAGTCAACCAAATCTAAGAAATACATTTTGACAGCTGTCAAACTTATTGCACCAAGCATGCCAACCAAAAAATTGGAGTGTACAATATTCGATTCTCAAAAAATCGATATCGATTATTTGGAGTTGGTAATCATTTACAGGTTGCAAGAATAGCAGAATAAATTGGAGACGGATAATTTAAAACACAAGATTTATCACTTTCTTCGTATTTGTTGTTACTGCTTATTTCTAGGGGCAAATTTATAAAAATTTAAGTTTGAAACCAGATTAAAAATAAATTTATTCTATCACTTTCAGTACTACTAGTTGAGCTGTCATTGTTTAGATTAATTATTATTTGATTTTCAATAATGCAGTCAAAATAAATGTTTCTTTCAAAATCAACCATAAACAATTTTTTTTTGTTTTTCTAGGTACCACTTTTGCCAAATCATCCTTTGTGACATGAGCACATGCTTCAACGACTATAGAAGAAACAGGCCAAAAAGATAAAGCCGAGTCACAAAATAAGAAGACAAACACAAAATAACGAAATTACACACAGTAAGCTCCCGAAATGGCGGGAGATTGAATTACGTAGTGGTTTTTTCAGCGCGGCCTTGTATATTAGTTTTTTACCTATACAAATTTAAGTTGACAAATTAAAAAAATAAACTTGTTTTTTATTCATGATTCGTATAGGTATTTTAAAGAATTTTAAAAATAAAAATTTATTTAAACAAATAATACATTAAAAAATTAATGATTCGATTATTTTAATATTTTACCGATTATTTGAATATTTTTGCGGATTATTCGCATAACAATGAATTTTAATTATCCAAACACTACAAGGCAAGGTAAGGTTGAAAAGCCGTCAAGTAAAAAAGTTGATACTAGTTATTTTTTGATATTTGGTATTTTGCTTTGTTTGAAGGATTAGTTATAAAAAATTATACACGTTGTAATGAAATATAGATAACTTCATAATTCTTCGGATTTAAGTAAAAGGTTATTTTAAATCGTGTGAGCACGATTGTGCAAAGTTATTGCGGAATGATTAATGTGAAACGTCAAAAGGTATTTCTTAGATTTGGTTGACTATAATGAATGAATGTGTCGTTTGCAGCGTGGGCTGGGCCGTACCTTCTTGTCGCGGTGCTCGATGTCGGCGCCGCGCGAGAGCAGCAGCTCGACGAGGTCCTCGTGTCCGCCGGCGCAGGCGAGCGTGAGCGCCGTGTCGTGGTTGGAGTCGGTCTCGCCGTCCACGTCCATGGCCGAGTAGGCGGCGGGTGCGGGCTGCGGCGGCGCCGCGCCAAACGCCTCCGCGCGCGCACCCCGAACGCCGCCCGCGCGGCCCTTTGCACAAACACATTCAACCTTATGTTCTCGTACTAACGCTCAAAATGTTCTATATGCCGTCATGTAACGGAATGTAGCCACCTCAAATTTACACCAAATACGAGGTTATTTAAAAAAAACCACGCATCTGACCCGGACGCCGCAAGCGCTACTGCGCACTGCTCCAGTCAACCCTATATCGTCGTGCTAACATTCCAAATGCTATTTGTGCCGTCACGTGACATCAATGTAGACCAAATGCAGTAGTAGAGTAGAACTTGTATAACTAAGAGTTATTACTAGGTGCTGTGTAATGCACTTACTCCCTGATTTCTCTGCTGACCTAGTGATCGTAAACTCGGTTATTGATCATAGATTCTAGAGTCGAATCCGAGATTGAGCCAAAATCAATGCCGGTTTGGTGTACTCAGGTACTATAATCCTGTCCTACGCAGATAACTAGTTTCCGTTGAAACTGGCCTCCATGACCAAAATTCCGTTGTTAGGATATTATTATTACATTTCTTACATACAGGTGGGATGTTTATTTGTTTATTACTTTAATGTTACAAAAAAATTTATTGGATGATGGGATATACGAAATAAGGACTCCATTTTACTGTTTAACATATTCTCCACTATTAGGACTCCTGGCCAGTTTTTAGTCTTTAATTATTTCGACGTCACAAATTGGCGACAACTACACCCTTAATTATTTAAATTGCATTAAAAAAATTACACTAATACACACCTTCTTCTTGAGAGCAACTGAGTTGTTAGCGTGGTGCAGAGGCGGTTCTCTTTTGGCATGAGGTTGAGGCAGGGTCTGCGTCTGAGTTTGGGTCTGGGGCTGGGGCTGTGGCTGTGTCTGGGTCTGAGGTTGGAGTTGAGGCTGGGTTTGGGGTTGGGATTGGGGCTGGGGTAGTGTCTGCGGCAGGTGCTGGGGTAGCGGCACACTGACAGCGGCGCCCGCGCTAGGTAATCCCGTGCCTGTGCTCGGTAAGCCCACGCCCGTACTAGATAAGCCCGTGCCCGCGTTTGGCAACCCCGTGCCCGTGCCCAAGTTCGCGAACGTTCTGGAAACAAATCAATGTTATATTCAACTGGATACAGATGATTAAAAATTAAGATTTTATCCTCAAATAACCTTTCCCGCACATTCGGCCTTTCGCCAGTTTATACACTTAAATTGAAATTCGAATCCGTGGTCGTCAAAACATCATCCTATTCATCTCTAATTCTATATAGTGTTTTTTAGCACGACACGAAATAAAAAAGTACTCTTCGTCAATAACAAAATAAATAATACTACTTTAAGTTTGAAATACAAAAATAGCAGTTGTCTTCCCTTGTTGTTGTTACTGATGTTAATTATATTCATTGGTGATGAATTTTAGAAAATAATGTACAAGCACATGACGCGGGATGATAAGACGTGATCTGTTTGTTGTTCGTATATCTTTTGAGTTATAATCCTTATTAAATATTACAGTTATTAGTAAAGAGCATTCTAGTTAAAAAATAAAAATAAATATTTACCTGTGGTCTATGTAAGGTAAGGTGGGTGGCGGCAGCGCGAAATGAGGTTGCAGGTCGGGCTGCGTTTCAGGTTCGTCTCCCGAGCCGCTACCCGCCACGCTGCCCGCCGTGCCGCCCACCACGCTCGCCGCGCCGCTCACAGGCGATGGCGGCCTGACCCGGTACTGACAGCCGTTACCTGCCTGCTGTAGCAAATGGTCATTATGTTTTACAGTAAAATGGAAAAGTTGCTTTTAAAATAAGTAGTTGTATTTTTGTTGCTGATCTGATATTACAATCAAGCTAAAATAGACCTTAAACATAATGTATTGTAATAGATTATATATGCAATAAATGATAATTGCAATAATAAAGGCATAATATGAAGTCTTTGTACACAAATACTTAACAGAAATAGTTTGGCCAATTATTCATGTCGGCATGATTATATTATTTATTTCTTGTAATCTTAGCTCCACAAGAACAATGAGGGTCCCTCTTGGTCCGCAGTGGTTTTATTATTAAAGCCCGGTTGCACTTAATTCTAATGTTAAAGAGCTACTTGATACCGGAAGTTCGGCATGGTGGTGGTGATGATGATGGTGGTGGTGGTGGTCTTGGCGCGCGCCCCAGTCGGTGGTGAGCGCCTCCTCGGTGGCGGCCAGCAGGCGGCGCGTCTGCTGCTCGGCCTCGACAGCCTCCGCCTCCGTGGCGGGCTCCATGCCGCACTTGTTCGCCAGTATCTCATGCGACTTCTGTTGCATCACCTGCAGAATTATTTTATATATTGCACAGTCGTTAACATATAATTAATATAGTATAATAGGCATTACAATTTCTGCAACGAATGTTCCAGATGAATGAATAAAAATGAATGAAATATTATTTACTGTACACGCTTTATTTTTATTTCTTTTGTGTATCAAAAGATAACGAAAAAACAACAATTATATACAGGTACAATTGGAGGCCCAATCGATTTAATATGAAGCGGTAAGGATTTCCAGAGCTTTTGGCTCTGAGCCAAAAAGCTTCAATAAAAAAGGATTTAAAATAAAAGGAAGTATTGTAGGACAGAATTTTTAGGATGAGATTTAGGGTCACCAAGAATCACAGAAAAGAAAATGACATTGAAAGAACACAGTATAAAAGAGAAAGAATGACTATTCCTGCGAAAACGGATCGGAAGCCACAGTTTTTCGCGAAATTCGGAAACATGGTCATATTTTCTAAGTCCAAATATGAACCATATACAAAGTTTTTTTTTTTAAATTAAAAAAAGAATATTAACAATGCTACAAACATTACTAATATTACTCGTGGTAAGCTTAAATTGCTTTTGTTACGAGTGGTTCACGCCAGTAGTCGAATGGTGGATTCGAACCCACGACCTTTTTGAGTTCGCGGTCCGCACCCTGCCATTAGGCTACTGTCGCTTGTTGTTTCTGAATGCACTCAAGTTTAATAAGCAAATCCTCATTTAAATTGAGATAGAACGTATCAGTGTAATCGAGAATCGGTAAAAAGAGGGATTGCGTAAAAATAGTTTTATAGTCAACCAAATCTAAGAAATACCTTTTGACAGCTGTCAAACTTTTTGCACCAAGCACGCCACCCAAAAAAAGGGGACCGACAATATTCGATTCTTAAAAAAATCGATATCGATTATTTAGAGTTGGTAATCATTTACAGTTTGATTTGAATAATACCAGAATAAATAAGAAACGGATAATTTAAAACACAAGATTTATCAGTTTCTTCGTATTTGTTGTTACTGCTTATTTCTAGAGGCACAGTTATAAAAATTTAAGATTGAAACTAGATAAAAAATAAATTTATTCAATAACTTTCAGTACAACTAGCTGAGCTGTCGTAGTTTGGATTAATTATTATTTGATGTTCAATAATTCAGTCAATATAAATGTCTCTTTCAAAGTCATCCATAATCTATTTTTTCCAAGTTTTTTTTTTGTTTTCAATTTTGCCCAATCATCCTTTGTGACATGGGCACATGCTTCAACGAATATAGAGGAAACTGTTCAAAAAGTTAAAGCCGAGGCACAAAATAAGAAGACAAACACAAAATCACAAAATAACGCACATTAAGCTCCCGAAATGATAAGATTGAAATTACGTATTGGTTTTTTCAGCGCGGCCTTGTTTTTTTGCCTACACAAATTTACGTTGACAAAGTAAAAAAAAACTTGTTTTATTCGTAATTCATGTAATATAAGGAATCTTAAAAATAAAGTTTTAATTAAACAAATAATACATTTAAAAAATTAATGATTCGATTATTTCAATATTTTTACCGATTATTTGAATATTTTTGCCGATTATTCGCATAATAATGAATTTTAATAATCCAAACACTATGGTAAGGTTCATAGCGACATATTATTGAAACGACGTCAAGTAAAATAATTGATACTGGTTATTTTTTTAATATTTTGCTTTGATTGAAAGATTCGAATTTAAATTAGTGATAATAAACTATACACGTTGTAATAAAATATAGATAACGTTATAATTCTTCAGATTTACATAAAAGGTTATTTTAAATCGTGTGAGTATGCTTGTGCAAAGTTATTGCGGAATGATTAATGTGAAACGTCAAAAGGTATTTCTTAGATTTGGTTGACTATAGTTGCTATGGAAGAAATTGCTTAATCTCTATCTAATTAGATCCGACTAACGCAAACACCCTCCTGAGTAGGAAGGTGTTTGCGTTACCTCAGGTACCTGTAGAGTCTAAGATAAAAATTTACCAATGCACAATTGAGTCAAGATCTTTATTTAATAAGACTGTAGTTCTGGATAACTCCATCAACTTGGCACGCACATATACTTGTAGGTCATCTGCATACAGGTGGTGGTGAGAAGATAATTGGAGCGTAATCGAATTGCCACTTTGCGGTACAATTAATCATCATCATGTGCTGGAGACCAAACAAGTAACTTATAAACCACTTCAAGGAATATATTAAGAGAGGCTAGGATAAGTAAAATCGACATTGTTTAATAGTACAACTTGGTTGAGCTAAGTTAGCACCTGACGCGGATGATGTCATTAGGACACTCGAGTATGGTATGCAAAAAAAAAGAGAAATATTCTGGAACCTTAAACATAAAATGTTTGTAATAAGTCTAACTGTGCAACTGTACAAATAGTTATAAGATGAGATTGAAAGTAAAAGACAGTATGTCTTGGTGTGTAAAAAAAATGATAACAGCATACAACCAAATGTCTATAATTAAAAACTTTACGGGAATAATCTCTAAACGCAACAATAATAACAAAACGTCAATAAAATTACTCAACAATATAACTCAACAAAAATAATCCTAAAACTAAATTGTTTGTTTGGAGAAGAAAATCAAGACATTTGCACCGGTAACAATGATGCAAACCGTACTGACGCGACTGGACGAACGCGGTGTTTTGAGCGGGTTAACGGGAGGAGTCTCATATTCCAGTGAGGTGCAAACTGAGCTCAACCTAATAGTAGTAACATTATAAACACTACTAATACTCCTGTCAGCCATCGTTTGTTACATTGCTGCGATTTATAGTTTATCTGCTGCACCCAGTGGATCCACCTGGCGATGCATGGGCAAAAGCAGGAGGAGCAGGTACAGTTACCTGCAGCACGAGCGAGCGCAGCTCATGCGGCGGCAGCGCCACCAGCGAGGGCACTTCGCGCTGCAGGTACGTCAGCACGGCGCCCAGCTCGCGCGCCTCCACGCAGCTGCCCGCTGCCTCGCTCACGTGCTGCTGGAAATACCTTACCGTTACAACCCTACAACTTACAGTTCCATAAAAATTCATAATGTACTAATAGCAGGACTATCATTTAAAAACAATAGCTAATATCCTTATGAAGATAACCAACAAAATATTTTTATGCAATCTATAAAACTACCATAGTGGTGGTGGTGGAAGAATATTGACTATCCCAATATCATTCCATGGGTCTCGTAAAAGGCGACAAAGGGAAACAAATTTGGAGATTGGTAACAGGGTCTTCCTCATAACGACTAAAAATAAAAAATAAAGGAAAGGAAAGCCTATTGTTCAGCAGTGGACGTTAAAATTTTTTATTACAATTATTGTTAAAAAAAATGACACCTATCCATTGGCATGAGGTGATGTAATTAATACGCTTCCGACGCGCCGGTATCACACGGCGATACTGACTAAATGAGTTCTAGAGTTGTTAACAGATGACATAGTCAAAATTTATAATAAGACACAGTCTTCCATTTAAATAAGATATACCTGCGGTAAATAGAGTTCAGGCCTCTGTTGTAGATCTTGCGGGATTTGCTGTTGTTGGTGTTTCTTTTGTTGTTGCTGTAACTGTTGTTGTTGCTGTAATTGTTGTTGTTGCTGTAACTGCTGTTGTTGCTGTAACTGTTGTTGTTGCTGAATATGTTGTTGTTGCTGTTGCTGCTGTAGCTGTAATTGTTGCTGTTGTTGTTGTTGGTGTTGTTGTTGCGCGGCGAGCTGCTGCAGTTGCTGTTGCTGAAGTTCTTGCAGTTGGTGCTGAAGATTCACATTTTAAGTTAAGTTTATGCAGAATTTATAGTCAGTTTTGCAGAAAAAAATTTTTTAATAGGTATTCTATCTCACGAAATCTGTTTCGCTTAGTTATGAATCATGCAAAGGCAAATTATAGTTTTGAGTCCACGATCTACAGTATTTGGTCATAAGAGCAAAGTATCAAGTAATTGTCAGTAACAATTCTCTTTGGTAGCATCAGAGATTTAAATATCTATCATATCATATCATATCTACTTAATGTCTTTGGGTAGCATGTACATTGTACATTCATAATATTCAGAATCTGTAACCATAATTAAGCCCGCAACATTTGTTTTTATATAATTTTGTAGGTATTTTATTCCTCTTTACCAGTGATATCTGCGTTTCGTTTTGTCACAATTCAATTTTTAAATTTAAACCGAAAAAGTTGTTAATTTTGTTTTATAAGTAAAACATTGATTTAATTTTATGGATGAGTCATACAGGAGTTTGTTTTTGGAAATAACTATTTTTACAACTTTATTTACACTGTAAACTCTTTTCAACCAAAATAAGGTTTGAGCTGACTTCGTGAAATAAAATAGCTATGCGGTCTCTTCTACTAAAGATGATTTCAATTTAAAAATAATATAATATACTTGTAATTTTCATTACCTACTTACTCTTACATTTTGTATAACTACATTTTACTAACAGTATATTATTGGTTGATATGATTGGGTTAGATGACTTTTTTAATAATTATTACAAAATCTGTAAATACACTTAATAAGCGACGGGCGATTATTACTAAAACTAATTGAATTAGTCGATTGTAGAGTTTAGTCGATAAAATTCGATAACAATCCACGTTAGTCGATTGTTATCGACTAACGCCGTGCAGCGGGCGACAAAGGCTGTAATGGTTACCGTGTCAATTTTAAGTACTTATTTATAGCATAGCGCACCTATAATAGGTACGTACTGCTAAATAAGTAGTTACAAAAGGTGGTGCGGCTGGCGTGCTCTGCGCTAAGTCTGTGTACCACTACTTATGACTGCAGTTATTAGGTATGCTACTGGCGCCAATTGAAAATATAATAATATACGTATTTAAATAAAATTTTATTTGTTTGGCGAGAATTGAAATGTCGTTTATGACACTTAACCTTAAAATAAAATAAGAATTATAATCTTAACAAAACATTCTTAAATGTTATTTCATGCAGCTTTTACGTCTTTGCCAGTCTGTTACGTCTTTGGTTAGTTAACATACCTGCTTTAAGAAAAAACGAGCTCGGATAGTGGATTACATAGCGCGGATTGCATTGTGCGTACAGTTAATAGTTTGTTGATTATTATTCGAATAATTATGATGAGGAACTACTAAATCGACAATCGAAGGCGCAATAGCATAATTTTCGATTCAGTCGATTTTTTTGCAACAATCGCCCATTGCTACACTGAATACATGGCAGATGGCAGTTTTATATCATAATAATGCATCTTGCAACACTTTGAAATATTTTTTATCAGGGCCATAAACAGCACAACAATACAACTTATAAGTTAAATTAAAAACTGCTGAAAAAAATATCTACTGGTTTATAAAAATACTGAGTAAAAAATACAGCAATACTACTGCACTGTCACCCACTTCGCTAATATGCTCTCCTAGTCGTTGCAGAGCTTCCAGGAGTAGGAACTTGTAACCAAACTTGACACATTTGCGAGTTGCTTTTGCACGTGGCCGTTCACAAATTGGGAAATTCTAGATACAAGCGTGACAATTGATACAAATATCATTACATACATACTATGTACTGCAAGTACATACTGTAGGTATCATTTTATACAAAATTTGATAATATATCAACAACTATTTCATAATAAGCTCACTTTTCTGTTACTCTTTTTTTATAAGTAAGGGTGTAACATCAATAATAATTCAAAGTGGATGATGTTGCCCAAAAACACCAACATCTATCCTAAATTAAATATATAAGTACAGATGCGTTATCACCCTTAATAAGTATGATGGTTCACTATACTCTACTGAAAGCAGTTTTGTATTCTTATCATCAAGATTACTTTTACATTATAATCATCATCATTTTGTTGCAGTCTATTACTATCTAATTTAAAATTGATGAAAAAGAAAGAAAAAAAAACTAAGTTAAATGTTAATCAAATATTGTGTGTAAAATATTTGTTAAACTTTGTTATTATATAAGGGTTCAGATTTCTCAAGAAATATTTTTAGAAAACAAAGTTAGATATTTATATAATTTTTAAAATATGGAATGTAATCCGTAATTTATTTTCTATGGAACATTTGTATAGTAATTCATAAACTCACCTGGTTGAGGTTGGTAGCTAGTTGTTGCACTGGGAATAGTTGCTGTGGAGGAGGGTATGGTGGAGTGGTGGGTGTATGAATCGTTGTAACACCTGTGCACAAAAAATAGTAGTTAAACTTCTCATTTAGTTTTTTTACATAATATGTAATAACTGAATACAGACGAATTTAACATTAAGAACACAAAAAAAAAATATTCAAAAACATTGCAAATAATATAAAAGATGTGAATGCAAACTCCTGAAACAATTAATTTAATAAAATTAAATTCTAAATTGCTATGGTGCATAGCTGCTTGGGGACCTTTAAAAACTAGTTTTAAAGAAATTTTTAATTAAATTAAAACAAATTAAAAAGGTTTTTATTGCAATAATATTTGAAGAGGATAAGAAAAGGAAATTGTTACAGGAAAAATACGTAAAACACTTACAATGATTAGATGCAAATACTCACACTAGAAATATATTTTTTCAATTCACCATTAAAGTGATAATTTTAAAAAAAATGTATTTCATAACCAGATTTGTTCAGTATCAAGTATAAGCTTGTTGATAAATCAATGTTTATAGTAACTTAATTTTTAATAATTTTAGTAAGTTATCAGCATAAGAGTATATTACAAACACATCTTGTTTTTATTCGTCTGAGTTTAAATTGTTATCGAATTTGACAGTTAGTTATATGAATGGTGTGAAGCACAGTGAAGCAAATGGAAATGCATCAAATGAGTATGGGGTTGCGGGCAGACATCACGCATCACTCAACTTGCCTTGAGCGCAGAACTGAAGGTCCAGAGCGTGGAGAGCCGACGTGGCGAGCGTCGGTGGACCTTTGCATAACAATCTTTGCTTAGCACCAACATTCATTTTTTATTTCAATATTGTTTAAATATATAGCAATATATTATAATTTTATAAACATAAATAATAAATAACTTAACTAATAGATGTGAAATAATAGTTTTGAGAATAACTCTGACATAAATCGTTTTATAAAATTATAGCATATAAAATATAAGATTGTCCGATTCATTGTTTTTTAGTTATTCTGCATAATTTGCATAAGGATAAAAATTTATTTTACAGTTTAGGTTGAATAAAATATGGGCAATTATTAATTTTGTGAACTGTTTTATTTAGAAATAAAATGCAACACTTCACCACATTATATTAACCTACATATATAATAAATAGGCTCTTACCAGAAGGATCAGCCAATTCAAGCACATTCCTCTCAGTCTCTGGCAGTGTATCATTTCTAGTTTGGCCCGCAAGCACATCAGGTCGCTGAAAATGAAAAGAAAAATAGTATTATTATCCTGATACACACACTAAGCTCCAGACTATACAACTGACGGAGTGTTCTAATTGAACAAAATTATCTCTTAATATTTATGCAAATAACATTAAAAATTCATAATTTTTTTTATTGATCAGTAGTGCCAGTTGGACCTTGCCCAGGTGGATATTAAAGATCAGTATACCCAAATTTCCCACTTCTAAGCTGTGATCACCATAAATTACAAAGCTTTATATACATGCATTTTCAGAAACAAGTGAGTTTTCTCCTTCACCCAATTTTTTGAATTTATTATGAAAGTGATATCGTAACACTTTCAAAACATTTTTATTACAATCTTTATACATAATGTTAATTCAACTCTACATTATAATCAAAAATACGTCTTAAAACTATAGGATTGGGTAGAAATTATACATATAATATACATAGTTTGAAAATACTTTTACACAGAAAACTAAATGTCAAAAATCAGGGTATTCTTTATTTAAATTTCCACAATTAAAATTTTTTTTTTAAAAAAAAATTTTTTTTTATTATCCTCTTTTTTTTTTTTTTTTTTTTTTTATAAAAAAACAAAGTAATTACAGATATAAAAATAAATGTTTCATTCCCTTGCAAATTTAAGCAATATCATTATGTTTTTATTATAGTAACTATGTATACTTTAAATTCAATATAAATAAATTATGATAGAAAGGCATTTGCAATACATATAATACAATAAATAAAAACAAGGTATTTATATACACTGTTGTATATAAGATATTATATAGCACTGAAAATATAGAAATCATCAATCGCCATTCAATATAGACTAATCGAAGATTTAGGATTAATAGTTAGTTACATAACTTGCAAAAACTACAATGCAAATAGAGGGTTTGATATTAAGAATGTACGACTATTATGAAGTCTACAATTGAAACAAATGTCACTCACATTGAGCTTTTTTTCAATGGTGTTTTTATTTTTATATTTCTTGTTAACATCCTTCCACGTAAAGCCCGGCGGGAGGGATAACTTAGCCATGCTGTGGTGGCATATCTACATCATGGGAAGCAAGCAGACAATATGAATATTTATAGTGTGAATCATGAAAAGTATAATATGTAACATACTTCTATAATAATGTTAGTCAATTCCTTGTGAATTAGATAAATATGAAAGCATTTATTTTCTATGATACATAAGAGAGGAAATGGACGATATAAACCAGTTGTTATCTCAAAGATGTATTCATATTTTTGTCCTTTTATGAATAAAGAAATTCACAGAAATGTTAAAGCTTGTGGATAAGGATATCATGTTGATCTTTTTATAGCAAACAGGATAAATTTTCCATTATTTTATGGGTTCTTTTTGATTTATGATTATATTACCCTGGTATATTAAGTAGCAATAATTTATAAATGGATTCCAGGGAATAGACTTAAATGCAAAATATGTTAGAGTAAAATATGTTCTTGATGGCAATTATGATAATGGCAAATTTTAAAAACCCCCCTCAAGGCATAGTAATTAAAAAGCAAACATAAGCAAATGACTGCTTGTATAGGTATATATTAAAAATATTTTAAAAATGTAAAATTCCTTTCTATGTATATTTAATAGTATAGGATAATGTTAATATACTATGGATGAAATATGGGTACCCTTTCAATGAAACAAACCATAAACTTTATCTCAGAAATGACAATTTACCTCCACCGGTGCTCTTATTTTTAACGCAATAAATTACAGAAAATGTAATACAGTATGGTATTATAAATTTATTACTTAAGTGTGTTAAAAGGTATTGGTTATGGTGTGAATAATGAAATTCCTTTAATCACTTATTTGGTGGTTTGAAGCGAGCGAAGCTGATAAAAATAAATGATCAATGTAAAGAAGGCCTATTTTGCGTGTAGGTCAAGATTAGGATAGCGCTTACTGACAAATTCACTTTCTATGAGCTATTTTTTGTTTGCTACCAATAAGTTTAACCAAAAAAGTATTGATAACAGCTATAGTAAGACTTGCCTTACTAAGTATTGAACTGCTATCTTCTTCAATAAATAGATATTGTTTTAATTCAGCTAGTTTACATGAACCAGATATCAATCCACAATAGTGAAGTTAGTGAAATATCGCAAAACCAATGGTACACCGCCATTTTTAGTGAAATTCAAAACAATAAATTTTTTTAAAGTATTGTAATTAATTTTTAACCAACTTCAAAAAAAGGAGGAGGTCTCAATTCGGATGTTTATATTTTTTATGTAAGTTTGGGCATAACTCCGTGATATATAGACTAATTTGGAAAATATTTTTGTTCGAAAGAGGTTTATTCCGAAAAGGTCTAAATCAACCGCGATTGCTGATATCGCATATCTATGCATTGTTTACGCAATCATACAACATAAACTCACACCTGTACCCTCTATAGGTACACCGTCACTTATGTCAAAGTTGTTGTGTGTGCATACTAAGTTGGTTGTACATAATTTCTAATTTTATCACTTGTTTAGTGCCAAATTCATCTTGCACTACTCATTTAAAATTAGTATGAATGTAGTCCTATTCTAATCATACATAGAGTAGATTAGGTATTGAAGTGTCAATGCAAGAGCAAACTATTGCAAATAATATCGTATATTCAGTAGCTATCAACAACAGACTTAATTTAGGACCTTTTGACAAAATTTTTGTATACAATTTTCAACACCGAAGTAAAAGGGAATAAAATAATTTGGACCCAATTATTATAATATGTAAAATTATATCTTAGGGAACACTAACCTGGTCCTCTAGAATATCAGGCGGTGGCGGCAGGTGGGGGGCGGAATGAGGAGGCGCGGAGCGTTGTTTACGGGCACACTTGTGCTTGCCCGTTGCAGACGCGGGTGTTGGCGCGGGTGCAGGCGCGGGCGCGGGGGCAGGGGCGGCGACGGGCACAGTCGCGGGTGCCGGCGCTGCGGCGGGGAGGGGCGGCGCCGGCGCCGGCAGGGCTGCGGCCGCGGCGGCACCAGTAGCGGGCGCGCCCGACACATACAGGTCCGCCACCGACGCGACGCCAGCGACCATGCCCGCGAAGAAGTTCGCATCCACGTTGGTTCCGCAGCCCGCCGCAGCAGCACCGTTGTTCGCGGTCGCGCCGTTCCCGCCGTTATTTCCGTTGCCGTTGCCGCTTTCTTTTTTCTTGATCTTCAGACCATCAGACCAACCTAAAGATCGTGACGGAACGCTGTGTACATTTCAAACGATTCAAAAACCTTGGCTGATTTGAGAAACTGTGGCATATGCAAACAGCTTACAAAATAAAATGAGTAATAAGGATATTAAGTAAATAGAACAGAAGTGGTTGATATTTTAGAAAAAAGTGCGCATCAACCTTGTGCTTGTGCTTACCTTTGAGGTAGGCCTTCGCAAAGTTGGCAGACATGGGAGCGGGCGTGGAGGCGGATGTGGGCGCCGGCGCGGAGGCGGGCGCAGGCGCGGGGGCGGGGGTGGACGCGGTGGCGGCTGCGGCGGGGGCGGGCGGCGCGGCGAGCGCGTGGGGGTGTGGGTGTGCGGGTAGCAACGCGCGTTGTGCGGGCGCACCCGGCGCTGGCACGTGCGCCAGCCCCAGCGCCGCCGCCTGCGCGGAACTGAGCCCACCGGTGTTCTCCTCTGCCGTTGCGTTGCCTAAGTCAAACGAACATTCATTTCATTATACAAATATTACTATTTGCTGTGAATTATAGTGCATCTTTATCGATCTCAGAAACATCTGTAGATATTTTCCACCGAATACCGACCTCTAGGCAACATGACGGAGTGCGGATAGTCGAGCAGCAACTGCACGACGGCGGTGTGGCCCCCCTTGGCGGCCTCTATGAGGGTGGTGGAGTTGTCCTTGAGCTTGCGGAAGGGATCCGCGTCGCAGGCCAGCAGGAACTTGACCACGTCGGCGTGCCCGCCCGCGCACGCTAACGACAGCGGCGTGTGGTCGCCGTTCGCCGTCATGCGGTTCACGTCTGCACCCTGTTACAAATGTAAAAAAATTATATATTTTATATACGTTACATATTATTGTATATATATATATATATATATATATATATATATATATATATATATATATATATATATATATATATATATATATATATATGTAAGGTAATTAACGCACACCCTCAGACACCCCAATTAGTATATTATGTTATAATCATAATACATACACTGAATTTTAGTTAAACATTTTTATGCACTGATTATTTATCAAATTAGTTATACTAATTCCGGAAGAATGTTGTGGTCACAGTACAAATCCACGAACGCAAAGACTTTAACGTGCTTGAAATAAAGTACATTTTTCTTCATTTTTATTGAATGACAGAATTAGTAATAATACAAATAAAACTGCACTCTTAAAAGTCTTATTGCCTTAAGTTACGGTCCATTTCAGTTTGTTTTGACTGTACAGATTTAGTGTGACTGTAATTTACGTAGTTTTAATTATAATTAAATATATATATTTAATTATAACATTTTAAATATAGGTAATTTTTTATCCCAAAAAGAGATAAAAAATTACCTATATATATCTTCATCCAGTAACAATGTATATTCAAGGCAAGAGGGAATAAGGCTTCATTGTCAAGCATTAAATCTGTGTTGACAGTGTAAGAATATCCACAACAGCATCTTGTCTTGTTAATGTCGTAACAGAGGGAAATAAATCAGGAGAAGGGCAGCAACATCTTCCTAATAACTATAAAAAAGACGCTTTACGCTTTTCCATCTTCCGCTGCATTAGGTGAAATAAAAGTCAAACACTGGCATAGAATGTTAAAAAAAGGATGTACGAGTATGTATGTGTTAGAAGTGGTTCGCAATAGTAGCAGAATGGCGAAATCGAACTCACAATTTCTAAATTCGATGATCCGTTCCTTGCACACTGTTCCCAGAACACTGTTGCTCAATAATATGAAACCACGAGAGGCATCAGTACAAGGCGAGATACGGAGGACACACGGACCTTGCCGACGAGGAACTGCACGGTGCAGACGTGGCCGGCGCGGCAGGCCTTCATGAGCGGCGTGCGGCCGCCCTCGCTCTCGTGCTCGAGCTCGGCGCCGGCACGCAGCAGCACGTCCGCCACGTCCGTGTGTCCATTCTCGCAGGCGTACGTCAGCGCCGTGTCGCCCGTCTGCGTCTGTGCGTGCACGTCCGCACCCGCGTTCAGCAGGTACCTGCGTCACAGACAACTTGTACTCTTTGTAACGTTAAGGCTGATTTACACGTACTAAAGTTTAATTTACACGTATTAACAAATTAAGTATATTTTATGCGACTTAATTTTAAGTAAGCACTAAACACATTATCAACACCTAATATTTGTTAATCTTTTTAGTTTGTCCAACACGGATGATTGAACAACATATTACTGTCTTAAATTTAGCGATTTAATTTGTAGTGAGATTTTGAACGAAATAAGGGATGAAAGAGTCAGGGAAGCGAAAGTACCTTAAAGACTGACGGTGAGAAGACGAATTTGGCTGAAGTGCAATTTTGATTCATGAACTAGCAATGGAAGATAAAAAAAAGTTTTTCCCTGCACTACAGATGTAAGATGAATCCTTTTAATACCTGTTGTTTAAGGTTAAAAATAAAATACCGTTTAGAGGGATACTGTAATGCAATGTGGAATTAATTATTTGTTTAATACTTTTTCGCTACGGGAAATATTTTTTTTTCTTTATCAACAAACAAACAACATAAACTAACTACTGTATCTCCCCACACTCCACCTCCCACCAAAACAGAACAAATTCCATTCTACTTGTTTAGCACATTTTTATAATTTACTTACAACTTTTTACTCAATTCATTGTTTACAAGTCACTTAAAATTAATTTAAAACTTAATTAATTACATGACACACTTAATGCTACATGCATGTAAATCAGATATAGGTATATTTTGATTTGACAATATCTCACTTCCCCATCTTGAATTGTTTCTATAAAATTTTGAGCGACTATCGAAATGTCTTTTATCTATGCAGCACTATAGCATTTTGTAACTTTTAATTTGAACATAGCAGTTGCTTCTACACCCAAACACTGATGAGCATGTCGAAGACACAGCTATTTCTTGTACAAGATAGGTAACTTATGGTAAAAGTGAAAATAAAATTTTCATTATTTTATTTTAAAAAAAGGAGAATTAGCAGCGCTTATTATACTACTAATTTCCCGTTATTCACTCCAGTAGCGGTAAAGTTATGTAAATATAAACCATAGCATAAACTATTAGGCTACTGTTGAATTTGAAACATCTGATTATTGTTATGAAATTTTTCGATCTACTTTTTAGAAATTTTTTTACGGTGTTACCTCACAAGCTCGAGATGGCCTTCTTGCGAAGCTTCCATGAGTGGTGTGGAGGCGCCCAGCTCTGCGTCTGCGCCGGCTTTTATAAGGAAGTCGGCCACCTCGAGGAAGCCCCCGCAGCAGGCCAGCGTCAGCGCGGTTTCCTGTGTCTCGTCCGTCTGCGCGTTGATAGACGCACCCTGCCCCAGGAGCAGTGCCACCATCTCCTCGTGACCTACGGGTACGCATTCACTCAGTTTTGATAAGGGTATCAATGAACTATTTGGGGATTTTGGCTTACGGATAAATAAAAACAGTATGATTTGTTCCTTCCAGTATCTTATTTTTATTTATGTGTTACTTTTATGTGAAATCTCTTTCAGACCGATCAAATATATTTGATATATTATGAAGAGCCGCGTCGCGTTCGATTACGTCGTATTGTGGTTTTTATGTCTCACATAACGTGAATTAGTAGAACGCCTAAGCATTGCAAACAAACTTGAAATTATTTCAGTACTCTCTGCAGCATGTATACAACATGTAACAAAAACCCTGTGGTTCCCGTTAAGTGTGTTATCAGAATCAGTATCCAAGCGTATAGAAATTTTTTTTTTTCAAAAAAACACATTAAAAAATTTTAATTAAAAAGAATTAATTTGCAAATTGTATTTGGTTTTATTTCCTCTAACTCACACGAGTATCTGTAATGCGGGGTCTTTGACAATTCTTACTCCTCGGCCAATGCAGAGATAATAAAACCACATACAATTTGCAAATAAATTTTTTTTCATTAAAATTAATTTTTTTAAATGCGTTTTTTTTTGAAAAAAATTATTTCCATACGCTTGGATACTGATTCTGATAACACACTTAACGGGAACCACAGGGTTTTTGTTACATGTTGTATATTTCAAGCACTTCACTGCGGCTGTAATTCCAGTACAGCATAAATTTATTATTTTATATTTATTTCTTAATTAATTTCCCAGCAGGAAGTTTTTGTAATTTCTCCGATTTTTGAATCTAGTCTAGTCTAGGGTAAAATGCTATGGTTTTTAGGATGTTTATGTATTTTTATTATTTATTATTTATGTTTATTATTTAAGTTTATATTTACTGCTGTGTGTATGTACATTTGTATATTCAGGGTTATTTTAAGCCTTGCGTCTCGAGAACAATAATCAACCACGCCAAAAGCTAAAAAGATTCTATTACACAATTATGTAACAATTTTTTTCAGCTTTTACCGAAATTGTTCCAGCAGTTTTTTGTTATAGGTTAGGTTATCGGACTTAGACTCAAACATTATTTTTAGTACCCGTATATACATACCTACTTACCGTTCTACGCCGTTCTAGTGCGACCGTGTAGATTTTGACTCAATTTATGTAAAATTCGGTTAGCTTGCTATTTTTTCAGTTAATTATATTCAGAACAATAAACCAATTTTGACAAAAACTAAAAAAACTCTTATTACATAATAGAATCTTCTTTTATCTTTAAATATTGTGTTTTTTTTACCTTTTTGGAAACAATTATTTCTCATGTCACTTATACGCAATGCCAAATGTATTTTAAAAATTAGAATAGAATTTTGTTTCAATTGTTACATTAAAAACTTAACAAGATATGTATAAGGTATATATTATAATAAAAGTTCTAACTTCATATTACTTACTTGCTTCCGTGATAACTTTAATGACTTAATTTTGTGTGTATAACATTTTCGTCTATGTAACTTGTGTATATGCAACTCGGTAGCTTCAACTTAAATTTCAACATGTATTGAAATAAAAAAATATAAGTGGCAAGTAGGTTAAAGATACACTATAAACTTATATTCCAATTTGAAATAGTAAAACCCTAAAAGCTCGTCAGATCGACGGATGAGCTGACTAAGGAAATATAATACAGTTGAATGTTTTTGTAACCTTTTTTGCTACGCTTAGGGGTCGATTTTATTTGCAAATTTAAATCGGGTACGTCTTCGCTCTGAAACACTGTCATTAAGAATTATAATTTTAGTCTATACAACACTGAATAAAGACTTCATCTTTTTAAAATCATATTTCCTTGCAAATATCTACTTATACCGTTACTATTGTTGCGCGCCTAAGTTGACGTTATGTAATGTCAGGGACGAGAGCGGGGGGGAGCTTTCCAGAAAATGACATCACTAATCTTTCAACCGACAGCGCCATCTGGTGCCGAAACGAAGAACTACGCTTCTAGAAACCGACACTTGAACTTTCGACGCCTTGCGCGTATTTACTTGAATGTTCTGGATGTTTCGGTGCTAATGTGTATTTATAGGCGCTGCAAGGTGCGATCGGGGAAGTATTGAATTCGGCGAGACAAGCGAAGCTTCGGAGCGAAATAAAGTGAATCAGTGTGGTTAATTATTAGTGTTCTAAGTTTTAATTAGTTAAAGTGAATTAAAGAGTTAATTTTGGTAATTCAATCGGCAGTTTTTATTGTCACGAACCTCCAAGCTCGTAACAATTGGTGTCAGAAGTGGGATAAAATCACGCCGATTTTACCTAAGGAGGAAACGGAGGGTGTCCGTACCCGAAGTCAACGCCAGCAGGAGACGGACTAAAGAAGATTTGGTGGTGCAACGCCGCAGACGTCGGAGGGCCAGCCACCGGCTGCAGGCCCGTCAGTAGCTCCTACATCTGCAGCACCTGACTTAGGTGCTCTGATGGTGATGCTGCAGGAGCAGGCTCGCCGACAGGAGGAGCAGGCCCGTTGGTTGAAAGAGCAGCAAGAAGAACAGGCTCGCCGACAGAGTAAGCGGAGGAGGAACAGGTCCGTCAGTTGAAAGAGCAGCTGCGGGGCGGACAGGATGAACAGACCCGCCGACAAGAGGAACAGGCACGTCGGTTGGAAGAGCAGATGCTCCTTATGAAGGACCTTCACGCTACCTTCGGGAAGGAGATGAAGGAGGTGAAGGATAGGGTTGCTCAACATGACAACCGCCTGTCAGAAGCTGAAACCCGAATTGAGAAATCTGAAACCCGAATCGACCAAGTGAACAATCGGGTTGACAATGTGATGGCTGACGTGAAGAAAACGCTGGACGACCTCAAATTTGGGGATGGAACAACAGCTCCCGTAGTAGCTACAACACCTTCACTACGTGGGTTCAAAGTGCCAGCGTTCGACGGGACTTCTTCCTGGTCAGCTTACAAAATCCAGTTTGAAGCTGTTATGAAGGCGAACGGCTGGAATAAAAGTCAGGCCATGACTGCTCTCACACTAGGCCTGCGCGATCAGGGCTTAACTGTTCTGGAAGCTCTCGGTGAGAAAGTGACTTATGAGCAGCTCCTTGAGGCATTGGAGGCGAGATATGGTGACGCTCACCTGGAACACGTCTTTCGTGCGTAGCTTAAAGATCGCGTGCAGCGCATCAACGAAAACCTGCAGCAGTGGGCTCTAGAGGTGGAGAAGCTGGTGCGAAAAGCATACCGGTCTGTACCTGCGCTCATTGAAGGGAACCTGGTGCAGACATTCATCGACGGCATCCGCGACCTGGAAGTCAGAGCTGCTGTGAGGCTCGGGCACCACGAGACGCTTAAGGACGCCTTCGCCCATGCACTGAAGGTGGAAGCCGTGCGGCAGGATCATCGTTCCCATCGCGTCAGGGAGGTTGCAGCAGCTACAGTTCGTGACCGCAACAAAGGATACAGCCCTAGGTGCTATGGCTGTAGGGAAAGGGGCCATCTTCGATCCAGCTGCCCTAAGCGAACTGTAGAAAGGGAAGTTGATCGATCTCGGGAGGGTAGTGCGGCCAACAGCACCGCCCAGCAGGAGCAGGGAAACGAGTAAAAGCCAGAACTGCGGGGCGGGTGCTGACTGATGTTAAAGGAGCCCCGAGGATCTCGATCTCACAAACCCATGATGGGAACAGTCTGATCATCAAAGGCGAGGTCAACGGAATGCCGTGTAAAACTGACCATAGACACTGGAGCCTCTGGTACGGTTGTCAGTTCCCAACTTATAAGTCAGTTCCTTGGGGACTCCGCATACAACCGAGAACGCATTAATTTGGTAACAGCCACTGGTCAGCGTATACCCGTCCGTGGAGAGAAGGAGATGGAGTTGAAGCTAGGCAACGTGATCTACCTACATAATGTCATCGTGGCTGATATAATGGACGACTGCATCCTGGGCCTAGACTTTATGAGGTATAACTGTTGTGAGATCGACGTTAAGCAAGGTTTTTTGAAATGTGGACAGGAGGAACTTTTTATGCAAGGTGCGTTACTAGGGAACGTGTACAGCATTAAGAAGATTGTTCTTCCGCCGAGATCGGAAACGATTGCTCCGGTTAGTCTTCCCCGAAACGCGGGGCAAGCTCACCGTTGTGTACTTGTAGAAAGGGTAAACAATGACCTTCCATGAAAAGTAGCTCGAACCTTGGTCAGAACCACTGACATCTCAGGAGTACGTATGCTGAACCTTTGTGACCGGGAACAGATTATAGAAAAAGGCACGCTGGTTGGTACTTGTGAGGAAGTGGATTGGTTACGTCGGTGCCAATATCTATCGAGTGAGACCCCCAGCAAGGATGCACAAACGAGTGACCACACTTTTGGAAGACTGTCACAGCGTTCTCTCCCCGACCGAAATGGTCAAGGCGAAGAAGTTGTTATTCACGTATGCCGATGAATTCTCATCAAACGATGCTGACATAGGAAAGACTGGCTTAGTTCAACACAAAATAAACACAGGAGAAGAATTGCCTATCCGTCAGCGACCAAGAAGATTGCCGGTAGCACGTGAAAAGGAAGTGGAAACCATGATTGAAGGAATGGTGAAGGATGGTGTTATTGAACCTTCCTCTAGTCCATGGTGTTCACCAGTGGTGCTGGTAAAGAAGGACGGCAGCATGCGGTTTTGTGTTGACTACCGCCGTCTGAACGACGTTACGAAGAAGGACAGCTATCCCTTGCCAAGAATTGATGACACGCTGGACATGCTTACAGGAATAAAGTGGTTTAGCACGCTGGATCTAAAAAGTGGCTACTGGCAAGTTGAAATTTACCCTAAGGACAAGGAGAAAACTGCGTTCTCGACGGGAAAGGGTCTGTGGCAATTTAAAGTAATGCCGTTGGGGTTGTGCAATGCTCCAGCAACGTTTGAAAGGCTGATGGAACTTGTACTTACCGGGCTAATTGGCGATGCCTGTCTGGTCTACTTGGATGACATTATCGTCGTAGGCCGTACGTTTGAGGAACACCTTCAAAACCTGGAAGGCGTGCTCATGAAGATTCAGAGAGCCAACCTCAAGTTGAGTCCGAAGAAATGTTCATTATTAAAACGACAAGTTAACTTTTTGGGGTATGTAGTATCGGAAGAAGTTATCCGAACGGATCCAGAGAAAATAGCCGCTGTCAAGGATTGGCCGGTCCCAAAAGACAAGACGCAGGTTAGATCATTTTTGGGTTTGTGCTCCTATTACCGGCGATTTGTGAAGAACTTTGCAGATATAGCCAAACCTCTGCATAAGCTAACCGAGGAGAAGCGACATTTCTGCTGGGATGAAAGTTGCAATATCGCATTCCAGGAGCTCAAGGACTGTCTGTGCAAAACACCTGTTTTGGGATACCCTGATGCAAGCAAAGAATTTATAGTTGACACAGACGCAAGTGATATAGGACTTGGCGGTGTGTTGTCTCAACGGAATGGTCACCAAGAGGTCGTGATAGCGTACTTCAGCAAGTCGTTGTCAAAACCGGAAAGGAACTATTGTGTCACAAGACGCGAATTGCTAGCTGTGGTAAAGTCGTTGCAGCATTTTAGCAAATATCTTCTGGGGCGACACTTACGAACTGACCATGCTGCACTAAAATGGCTATTGCAGTTCAAAAATCAAGAAGGACAAGTTGCGAGGTGGATTGAACTACTGCAGGAATACGGCTTTGAGATCGAACATCGCAGCGGGAAATCTCATGCCAACGCAGATGCATTGTCAAGAAGACCTTGTCCTGAAGATTGCAGACATTGTACTAGGCAAGAGAGTAAGGAAGTGGTATCCGTGAGGATGCTCAGGGCGGATCACCTCAGCAACGAGTGGAAGGATTTGGCGCCCCCTAAGCGGTAACAAGTTTTGGGGTGGTACTTCATGGCCAGAAGTCTTCGCCATTCCAAATCAAGAAGCTTCAACAGTTGCAGATAAACTAGTTCATAAAGTCTTCTGTCGTTTTGGAGTACCTTTAGAGATTCACAGCGATCAAGGAAGGAATTTTGAGTCTCAAATATTCCAGAAAACTTGCCAAGTTATGGGTATTCATAATACAAGAACGACTTCTTATCACCCGCAATCTGATGAAATGGTAGAACGATTTAATCAGACATTGGAGAGGTACCTAGCAAAAGTTGTAGACAATCGTCAACGAGATTGGGACAAGCACATACAACCGTTTTTGTTGTCATATCGAAGCGCTGTTCACGAAAGTACAGCAGTGACACCAGCTTTCGTAAACTTTGGAAGAGAATTACGGCTGCCTGCAGACCTGATCACCGGGATACCACCTGATGCCCCACGCAGTATAACCGATTATGCAAATGACTTGCGGAATAAAATGAATGACATTTATGAGCACGTCAGACAATCGGGCCAGCAAATGTCTGAGAAGATGAAAACCCGGTATGACCGCAAAATGAACAATAAAGGGTTCGACGAAGGTTCACTAGTGTGGTTGCACAATCCAGTCCGCAGCAAAGGGAAATCTCCTAAGCTTCAAGCTAAATGGGACGGCCCGTACCGGATTGTAACCAGGATCAACGATGTAACCTGCCGGATACAGAAAGGCGCAAGAGGGACTCCTAAGATCGTCCATGTGGATCGCTTGGCGCGTTATTATGGGGCCGAGCATGTCTTAGGAGGGGGCAGTGATGCGCGCCTAAGTTGACGTCATGTAATGTCAGGGACGAGAGCGGGGAGAGCTTTCCAGAAAATGACATCACTAATCTTTCAACCGACAGCGCCATCTGGTGTCGAAACGAAGAACTAAACTTCTAGAAGCCGACACTCGAACTTTCGACGCCTTGCGCGTATTTACTTGAATGTTCTGGATATTTCGGTTCTAATGTGTATTTATAGGCGCTGCAAGGTGCGATCGAGGAAGTATTGAATTCGGCGAGACAAGCAAAGCTTCGGAGCGAAATAAAGTGAATCAGTGTGGTTAATTATTAGTGTTCTAAGTTTTAATTAGTGTAAAGTGAATTAAAGAGTTAATTTTGGTAATTCAATCGGCAGTTTTTATTGTCACGAACCTCTAGCTCGTAACACTATATTGCCTTGAACTACTGTATTGTCCTTAATAATGAAGTTTCGATACAAATCGATTGCATACTCTTAATGTGAACTTAAGTTTGTTTGTATTTCAATTTTCATCAAAAGAAATCAAAGCTTTAATGGCAATCATGTTTTCCTACATCACATTTTATGTTTTGTATTTCTATCACTTCCTACTGGAAAGTTTGTAGTGTAGAGCTCTCAGGTTGACGCTTTTACGGTGGACACAACTCACCAGATGGTAAGTGGATGCTGTGGCTCATAGACATCTACATCTATCCTCGACTAGGAAAAAATGTGGATGCATTATCACCCCTTGGAATTTCTCATATTCAGTAAAAAGGGTCTTCGGTTCCTACACTCTCCATACGAAACATAGCAGTATTTAACAGCTGTTTTACGTTGGTATTCTGTAAGAGCGGGGTCCTTGCCCGGTTGAGCCGACCCATTCGTCTAACTGGTGTGTGTATATATGTATGTATGTCTGTGTGTGTACCTTCGCGGGCAGCCTCCATGAGTGGCGTGTAGCCTTCGTCGTTGACCTCCTCGATGTTGGCGCCGCGCTCCAGCAGCAGCATGGCCAGCTCCACGTGGCCGCCGCACGCCGCCAGCGTCAGCGGCGACTCGAAGCTGTCCGTCGGCATGTTCACCTGCCGGCACGCCTACTACTCACTACAAATCCTCTAAACACGCTATTAATCCAATATTCTACACAAATTAAATTCAATGACAAGCCTTTCATGTTATCGAAAAATATTATATGATTGTCGCTTAAAAACCGGGAATGTGAAGGTCAAAGTTTATGACAAAGTTCCATCAGTTAAATTATAATTAAAATCCATTTGATTAAAACTTGAGTATTTCATGTATTGCACATTTTATATGTATTTACATTCAAGAAGTATCAATTCTCGCGCATCAATATCGCGTCCAAAATACAATTTGCTCAATCCGGCCTTAACATTAGCCACATTTAAAAAAATAAGAAAAAAGATACCTGCGCGCCGGAGTCGAGCAGTAGGCGCGCGACCTCGACGTGTCCGTCCATGCTGGCCTCCATGAGTGCCGTGTGCATCTCGTCCGTCTTGTGCTCGCGGTCGGCGCCGGCCGCCAGCAGGAAGCGCACCATGTCCAGGTGGCCCTTGTAGCAGGCTAGCGTCAGCGCAGACTCCTTGAACTCGTTCGAGTGTGTGTTGATGCCGGCGCCGTGCTCCAGCAGGATTTTCGCCACGCCCACATGACCCGCGGACGCCGCCTGGTACGATCCACAAGTATGTTCAACCAAAATTTACGTTGACAGTTTTTTTTTATTCAATAAGGGTAACAAACGAGCACATAGTCCACCTGATGGTATGCGGATGCTGTGGCCCATAGACATTCACATCTATCTTCGATTAATCATAATGCTGATGCCTTGTCACATCTGGGGACTAAGACTGAATGCCTCATTTCGAGTAAAAAGAGGGTCTTCAGTTCTCTACAGTCACCATACGAAATACAGCATTTAGCTGCAATTTCACGCTGGTATTCTGTAAAAGCATGGTCCGAGCCGACCTATTTGTCCTACAACCATAATATAACTGCAGCATGACTACCACATGAAAACGCAGTTATAAACTTTCGTAAAAAAAATACAAGAAATGTGTACATACATATACTGGGTTTAATCAGCGCCGACATTTTCTTGTATAAACAGTTTAGCTTAGTTGCTAAATATTACATTTAACAAAAGAGCTAGACAAGTTTCCATGAACTTGGCCATAATTACATTTCGGCTTGACAGATTTTTACATATAGTGTGTTCTTAGATTTGTCTTCACTGTGACTAATTATTATTTATTATTTATCTATAATATAAAGATCAATTGCTCTCCGTTTGGCCTAAAGGTCTAGATACCAGGCCATAAACTCAAAAAAAAAAACTGCTTTCCATTAATCTCGCTAATCCTCGAAACTGGCTCAACCGATACTAAAATTTTTTTTGTGTGGGTTTGAGTGGGTCGGGTCCCTGAATGGATTAGATTCACAATTGGACCCAATAGGCGGAGCTGTTGTCGAGATCCAAAAAATATTTACGTTTAACAAAAAGGTATAATAGGAATTACACAATGAGAACATCCACAACTTTTTTTGCCACCGGGGCGGCGGTTCTTATGAATTAGGTGATATATTTGACAAAATTCATAGAGAAGAAGTTAAATTGTTAGAAAAATATAAAGTTAATGTTTCTTTATGAAATATTCATAGAGTTTAATATTAGTTAGATTAAAAATCCACATGTATCCTTAAAAGTAAAAGAAATAAAAAAGAGTTAAAAATGTGTAAAACATTAAAGGAGCAACCACTGCAACATTGTTTTGTGCACATAGGTACATACACTAGGAATCCATTTTTTTTTAATTTGAAACGCAATTTTATACGTATGGTTCACTGTGTAACATGAAAACTTAATCCCAGTCCCAACTAGTGACATCTGGGTGAGCGAAAACGATGAGGCCTCAGTGTGGAAGTGCGTTATTACGTATACGTGCGTGTGTGGTCATCACCTCCATGAGCGGCGTGTGTCCGTTCTCGTTGTGGTCCTCGACGTTGGCGCCATTGTCGAGCAGCGCGCGCACGCAGTCTTCGTGGCCGCCGGCGCAGGCGTACATGAGCGGCGTGTTGCCCGAGCCCGACACGGCGTTCACGTCCGCGCCGTGCGCGATCAGCAGCCGCACGATGTCCACGTGCCCCGCGCTCGCCGCCTCCATCAGGGGCGTGCAGTCGCCCTGGTGTACAATAAAAATTTTATCACTTTTAAATAAAAACATGCCATATTACTATACCATTACAGCCTGCCTATAAAATTCCACTTCTGAACACAGCCCTCCCCCATAGAATGCCCTATAGGGGAGTTTCTGCCATAGTTGCCATGCTTGGCAGGCGGATTGGCAGTCCTTCACAACGTTATGTTGTTATCAAGGAGATGCTGCTAGTTATCCCCTGTTCCAGTGTCCCTCTGACGCCTTTTATGACACCCAATCGTCGATAAAGGACACTGGATTTTCTTACACCTTCACTATATGGTTATATGCCCTATCATTCCTCCGAATTTAAAACTTAAGCAAACACATACTTGCGTACGATATACACACTAAATGGGTTGAGTGAAATATATGCATAAGCTCAAGTTAAAATGCATTTTACAAACTTACTTTTATTTAAATAATTAATAAGTGGTAAGACTCCCTTTTCTGCCTAAGAGTCCGTCTATGTAGGTACCGCGCTCTTACCTACTTGCGACACTAAATAGCCGTGCTTGCTCTGCTGTGTTCTAGTCTGAAGGATATTTAGCCAGTGCAATTACAGACTGTGAGGCATTCCATCTTACTACTTAAAGGTGACACATATGTGGTCTTCTTTGTGTGCAGGTGTCCACGGACTGCAGTAGCAACATACTATCATCCGGTACACTGTAAGTTCGTTTGTCACTTAAGTATTATAAAACGTATATAAAATTGATTTGTGAGCCACTCACATCATATTGTATAGTTCTTTAAAATACTCAAAGTGGCGACATCGTCGCCACTTCGAGTATCGACGCCGTGACTGATATGAAAAATGAGACTAAACAAAGTTCTACGCTTAAATGATGAAATTAACCCATTTTCACATTTAAATTCAAAATATTTGTAGTTGCATGCATTATCAACATTTCATACCTAAGAAATCCATTGCCGAGCAAGAATATTTACACATTCTCCAATTTATATTTCCTTAGACTTATACTTAAATTTGTCGATCATTAACTACATTTTTGTTTTATTATAAAGTTAGTATCCAAGTCATACAAATAAGTTCTTCTTTCCTTTGCAATAATAGTTTAAAAACAACTAACAAGTACCATCCATCAATTAGAACCTATAAAAATTCACTGCTGAACATAGGCCTCCCCCATGGATTGCCTCATAGGAGGAATTTTGACATAGTTGCCACACTTGGCAGGCGGATGGACAATGGCAGATTTTATTATTTTGAGTTGTAATTAGGAACATGCTACTGCTCATCACCATAAGTTACTTTTATCTACTATTGCGCACCTTAATGCCGCGATCCTCGACGCTCGCGTGCATGGCTAGCAGCACCTGCGCGAGCTCGTAGTACCCGGCTGAGCAGGCCAGTGACAATAGCGACTCGCCCTCTTCTGTCGTCTCGTGAACGGAACGGCCTTCTGTCAACAGCTTGCGCACGGTGCCCACGTCGCCGTCAGAGCAAGCCTCTGCCAGCGACGGCGCACCGTCAGCTCCGACGCCTGACACGACTACACCACCATTCAGGCTCATCCCGCATTGCGTGCTGGGGAACAAAATTCACAGATTAATCTACAGTACTGTATAGCTTCGTGTATAGAATTAGAAGTGGAAATCAGATAAGATCAAAGCTTCAATAATCACATTTCGAACACCGCGTCTCGATCGGATCGACTCGGGAGTCAACGACTCTACCGCAATCGTTCCAAAAGACTTTCGGCGTCGAATCAATCTCGGATTGTCATCATGTGAGTGCAGGCTGGCCAGCGTAGATCGATTATTGTACTTATCAAGAAAGCTTTAGGGTATTGATTTACATACCAACATGGGTTTTCCCAACTCATTGTTTAGTATTAATGTGATTTCTTTGTCTGCAAATACCGAAGTTTTCATCATGTTGAATTAAACTATATAGTATTTAGACCTCAAAACATAGTTCTTTTTTAAATGTTTCTTTTGCCCAATGCGTATGTTTTTCCATGTATATTCATTTATTGGTATTTATAAGCAATAGCTGTTTCTTGGGACATTAAAGAACTTGCTATAGAACAAAATTACTTTCATATCCAGCTTAAAAATAGGTATATCAATTTGAAATATGAAATTTGCATCTATTAATTATAAGTAGATAAAAATATCCACATTTCGTACTTAAATTGATCAACACTGATACGCAATGTCTTTCGTTTAAAATTTTTGATTACGTCATAAACTGCGGTCGCGGTATTTTTCTAGAATTTCTTAGTTGATTTAAACAAAATACGGAAAGGATTTCGTTATTTAGCTATAAGTAACTCGATATGTTTAAAATAAAATATTCACTTTAAGTTTCTCATTTATTTATTTATTCATTTATTTAGCGAATATGCATGTCATAAGAGTTTAACACTGTCCTAAAACTATTTTTATGTTATTTATAGTTTTTAGAATGCGTTGTTATTTTTAAATTCATATTTCATTCGCATATTGAGTGGTAGTGGAGTGAGTGGTAGCACGAATGGGTCGGCTCGGCCCGGATAGGACCACGCTCTCACAGAATACCAGCGTAAAATAGTAGCTCAATGCTGCTGTGTTCCGTATGGTTAGTGTAGAGAACCAGACACCCTTTTTACTGGAAACGAGGCATTCCATTTTAGTCCTCACCAAATATTAGTAGTTGATTAGGAAAAAATAAATTGACAAACGTAAAATTAATGTATTATGTCAAAGAAATAAATATATTATACATCTTATTTTAAAACATTTTATGTATTAATAAAATTCCAATCAATGAAGCTACACTAGGCTTAACGAAGACCTTCGAAGATAATTAGTTGATCTCAATATGTTCACCTTTGACCTTTTCCGATTCATTATAAAGTGCACTACAGTAAATTATCCATATTTTTCAAAGTTAATATATTTATAATATTCTATACGTATTGTTTCAGACCTTTTTTAAAAAAGCAGGTCAAACTTGCCAAATGTTTATGTTTGAGATATATTATGATTAGCTAAATTAAGTCTAATAGATGCAAATATATATAACAGTTATTAATGTTCGTTCACTAAGTCAATTTGATTTGAAGCAAAATGATTTAATTTTTTTTAAATGGAAACTGAAGCTGCTACAACAGTGCTATGTTTGTCTCTGGTGGAGCGAATAATGTGCAGTATCGCAATCGTCATAGATAATCCACCTAGGGACTCGCGAGCACCGAGCACAGATTATTTAAAATGAGCTAGGTTACATGTATAAGATGTCCATATCGACGTAGAAAAGTCCGGCAAAAGTAGGACATTTGAAGAAGTGCAGATATTTTATTGAAAAATAGAACCGAAATTTTGAGTTTGTTAAGTTTTGCTGAAAGCGTATCTGCACATCATAGTCACTTTCCAAGTGGCCAATTAATGATTGTTTAAATGTAAGCGTTGAAACATTTTAAAAATCTTTAAAACAAAAAAAAATTAACAGCAAAATTTTCGTTTTTAATTCTCGGATAGATTAAAAACATCAGTATTTAGCAAAAAAAAAAAACAATTCGAATTTGAAACCAAAACCAGGATGGTAACTATGTATATGATTACCTAAATGATGTTAATGTTAATTTGCTCAAAGGCATTCACGACGCACCCGGGACCAGATAACTGGATCTAAATTACTACGTTGCGAGGTTGTGAACAAAAAATCGATAGTAGATATATAAACACAGTCCTAACTACGCAATAATATTAATGTACTTCAGATTCAGCGGAGACAAACCATCCGCGCAAAACAGTGTTATATTGCACGAGTGAGTGCGCAAACACAGGTGCACTCTCGATTCCCTCACACTCATAGTTTGACGGCTTACTATATATCATAGGTTTAACTGGAATGTTCCTTAGTAACAAAATTAATTTTACGCGTCCAAAAATTTTACGTTTCTTTAGCCTTATTTATTACTTCTGGAGCTGATTCATTAAAGATAAGTACATAGTGACAACTATTTCCTCGCACAAGGTTATATAGACAGACGGTTTGTTTGAATCAAACGACGTTCCCGTTACAGTCTCTTAAAGTCTCCCCCATATATTGTACCATAGGGAAGATATTTGCCATAGTTACCACGCGTGGCAGGCGGGTCGCTGTTTTTTTTATAAAGTCGTTAGATTTGCTTCCCTCTATCGCCTCTTACGAATTGTACTTAAAAGTGACTAGCGTTTGATACTTACGAAATTAGCAAATAGATTTGCAGTTATTGGATTGAAATTGTAACGACTAATATGTAATGCATTTACTTTTAATGCAAAACCTTGGTAATAGAAGATAGGGTTTATAATTAACAACAAATAAGGTTTTAAGAACTACGCAGATTAATTTAGACGAAAGTATCTTGATCGAAAAATGCGCTATAACACAAACCAAAGTACTGAAACGCATCGAGTATATGAATGTTTTAAGGTAGGCATTAGGCAAAGTCCTCTATTTACACAGTTGTTTTACTAAGAGCAAAATTTTCAAGACCATTGCATACATAGTCAATCTTTTTCATGGCAAGCTTTTGTTTTCACAGCTTAATCCGCATTTAGAAAAACTTGCACGTGACTGAACTTTGAAACATTCATTTGCCATATTATTTAAAAAATTAATTTAGTTTACTGTTTAATCTGAACAAGATATTATGGTTTAGTAGTCAGCGTAACTGATAATCGGATACTTTAAAAATAGTCTGTAAATCCCTGTAATAAGTATAGCTTAGTTTTTAATGAGATACACAAAAAACGCACAATTCATATTTGCATAATATAATTCAGCCTATCCTCAATTCACCGTAATCGCCAAGCTTACTATGCGGATTAGCGATCGCAGTATGAATCTCCTAACATCTTTGACGCAGCTGTCGATCTGGTTCCAAATAGTTATTCTATTATTTGTTAGAACTCTACACAAATTTGTGGAATATATACGTATTTCAACTGAACACATATATGGAAATTGTTTCTCCTCAAGTTTCGCACTTTCGACACTGCATTTTTTAGATTATAATATTTGGAAGAAAGAGGAGCGAGGATACTCACGGTTTGTCCTGGTGGTGGTGTCGATGGTGGGCGGGCGGCTGATCGCTGCGCATGCGCGTGAGAGCCGCGGCCGCCTCGTCCAGCGCGCACGATACTGATGACGTCAGCCGCCTCAGCACTTCTGGGTCTGCAAGGTGTTTGCCCTCACCCGACAGCTTGCCGATGCCTGTTTGCACAGTAACACGCTTAGTTCACTTATTCTTAAAAATATTACTAAGGTAATAGTTAATTCAACTGTCTCGTTGGGCAATTAAATATGAGCTCCCAGATTCAAGCAAGGGTCGAGTAAAATAATCAGTTACTGAGTACATCAGAAGAACTCGATAACTGTAGCAGTAGAACAGTAAGCAGCTCGGAGTTAGGAAGTCGGCATTATAAAGCCGTTGGTCATACGCCTTATTCCTCCAGTTGTGTCGGATTGCCGTTTCATCGGACTACGAGAGTGAGAGAATATAATGCACCTGTGCTTGCGCAAACAATCGAGCACTAAAATTCTGTTCTACAGAGACGGCTAGTCTCCATTGAGACTTGTATTCGGCCTAAAGGACATTATAATTACTAAGGTAAATGGTTAAATTACAAACACAATTTGGGGAAAGTACCTTATTGTATTATTTTTTAAAAAAACTTCATTTAATGACGGTCAAAAAGTTTCGACCTTACAAGTCAACGTTTGGATCTGAGATCGAACACATCCTAGTTATTATAGTAAGAGGCTTGAAGTATAAATAATACCTACAATATAATAGCACGCTCATGAATATTCTAAGGTAAAATATCTTAGTTTCTCGTTACACTTCATACGAAACAATTATCTATTCATTTTATATGAATTTTCATGCTAAAAGAAATGTTAAGTACCATGTCTATATATAGAAAGGAGGGGTTCACATATTCGGAAAAAAGTTCAATTGGAAATAGGCCTTAAGTTTGGAGGATGCAAACCAATTATATATAACCAATGTTTAACTAATTTACAATATTAGCGAAGTAACCAATATATTTTAGTACATCGATTTTTAATATTAACCACTACTAAGTCATTAGTTCCAAGTTAATTATTTGCTTGTTATTATCACTATAATAAAGGTTTGACTGACGGATACCAAATACTTAAACATAACAAAGATGTTTGAAAAAAATAAATAAAATGGCGTTTATTTTTTGTGATCAGTAGAGGCATATTCAATCGCTTGGAAAATTTTTGGTTATTGAATAAAACTATTTATACGGATTTTATCGCAAACGAGCTGATAGTACCTATTTTGAAGTCTTGCAGCGGTATGCTTGGGTTTGGATTGGTAGGAATCTGTGTTCTTTTGCGAGGATTTGTGGTTTATCAAATCTAATGTAATGGCAGGGTCAATCTTGGACATGTTCCGTCGTTCCGGGAAGTCTGCAGTCTGTGAAGCTGAGCTCGTTCCCAGGGAATATTCATTTTTGATTTATCGTTCAAAACTCAGCAGTTTGATAACTTTAATGTTTATATGAAAGTTAGACATTTTTATAGAATCATTTAAGATCATTTTTATAGAATACTAGCGATGTGCTCCGGTTTCATACGGGTGATATCTGGATCTATAACAGCGTCGTCTACCGGGTCCAACTATGCCTATAACCTTCGCGTAAGTATAAGCAATAAGTTGACAAAGTTTTAGCGCAATCTGATGAACGGTACAGCAGCGCATAAAATCCGAACAAACAAATATTAATTTTATATATTAGATATTAGGTTGATAATATTGGTTTATGATACAGACTCAATATACAGGCGTAAATTAATAAGAACCATTAACTTTATAAACTTTGCAAACATTACATACAAAAGTAATGCAAACAGACAGTGTGGATAATATTCGAAAACTTTATTAAAACGCACCTGTACTGCACAACCAAATTTCACTCCACCTGCAGTGTACGATACGACGTGACAGCGGACCGTTTACCTTTACCAATACGTTCACCTTTAGTGGCAGATGGCTGGTAAATCAAAAACCAATCCTACAACTAAAAATTTTATTACTATAGTGAAATAAATAACAAAAATATTTGTTAAAATAGAAAATTATAAATATTTTAACTGATAATATAGGAACATTTCAGATTACGTGATGTACGTGACCTAGTACGTTATAAAAGTTTTGTATTGTCATAGATGTGTTAAAGCTGTTAATTATAGTTTCATTCAAACTGTTCTCGAGTGACGCGCACGGACACACACGTAATATTGAAAAGAAATGCCTGACATTATTTCAAATGTTGAATTTTATACTTGGTACTCCAGGATCAAGGAGCGCTATTATTTTCAGTTAATGCCACACAACTCGGTCGGAGCTTACATGAAATATTCGTTATCGTACATTCTAATATTCCATAACTGCGGTTAATTTATATCACTTGTGCGCGTACAATTATACAAAAAGACATATCATATTTCTTCTCGTTTTATATTCCTTTTGGAAATCTGTAATATGACAAGATATATGGGTTCTTATGGCTACTGCACGAATGTGTTAAATCAGCTCGACCAAAGGAGGAAACGCCGCTGGTACAGAATACCAGGCAGTGTAAAATTGCAAGATAAGGCGCTGCTGTATTTGGAACGGTTGGTGATGAGACCAAAGACGATTTCAGTCACTAACAACACATACTGGTAAACGAGGCGTCATAACGCGACCGTTTTAGTGATAACGAGGTAATTCATCTTAATCCCCAGGGCTGATAACACCTCGATTTTAGTTCTAAATAAAAATAACTGATAATTTTCCTTAACTCGTACCCGTAGACGATACGGCGTTACACGAAAATGTCATTGCATTCGCACGAAAGGAGCCTGCGTGAGTCCTTAGTGCTACATAGCTATCTCCCCCGTCCAGCGAACATTTTGTGTGATTATTACTTCCACACAGAGTTGTCAACTCTACGGATTTTCCCGTAGATCTACGGAATTTTGTCATCGTCTACGGAACCTATGGAATTTGAGGTTTTAAATCTACGCAATTTTCGAAAACTTTTTTTTATCATGAACGTGAACTTTGCCGACGACTGACAGTCGAAAATTTTAACAATCGAAATCTCAGCGGGAAAATTGAATTTGATATGATTCCGTCATACTATCTTACTATTAGAACTATATCGGCTTCGCAGGTCGATGTAGTACTTCACAGAACGTGTAGGTGACGCTGTTTGTCTATTTTAAACCAAGGCGCGTTAACTACTGCCACTGCCACATTTTTGCTAGTATCTATGTAGCCATAGCTAACCTTGTCAACATATAAAACAACTTAATTCTAATTTAAGTTAATTTTTGTTTCCTTGACTAAATGTTATCCTACAATTGAACTGACAACAAGGAGTTTACACGACTGAAAGAATTTCTCCAAAAAATTTATCTATTCTATGACAAAAAGAAAAATTTCGATCCTCTTTAAAAGTCTGGAGATCTACGGATTTTTAAATAGCACCTACGGAATTCTACAGATTTTTTTATACCGAGCCTGTTAAGTTACCAAGACTTCATTATTCTAGATGATAATAATTTTTTCTTGCTCTGTAGTTCTTATGGTTCACGAGACAATTTAACCATCATGACGTCATCAGCATACGCGCTGCATTTATAAAATGCGGCGCGTACGGTGCGTCTGTAATATGCGAGGTTTTATATGATTAAAAAATGTGCGTCCAGCTTTAGAGTATAAATAAGCAAGCTAAGCTTTATTTTCTAAATCAGAACCTTAAAAACTATCTTGAATAACGAAATGAAGGATCTGATCTAATACGTAAATGTATCTAAAATAAATTTTTCTTTGTTCAAATTTTGCTGCAGGTATCCACGGACTGAAGTAGTTCCCATCGGGTGGACTGTAAGTTCCTCTGCCACTTCAGTATTATAAGAAAATAAGCCATGTTATACAGAAGAGTTAATTACGATCGGCATATTGATAAGAGTAATATATAAAGTATAAAGTAAATAATATAAAGCGCCGCGCCGCGCCGCGCCGGCGCTGTCTCGTATATTCAAAACTTACCATCAGATTTCTAAGGCAATCTAATTTCAATCTCAATCCAAATTTAATCTCAGTATACCTAGATCCCTCCAGAACAATTTGCGGGATTCTGAATTCCGGCAGCTATCAATCCTCAATGTATGATGAAACGTAAGGTTTGCCACCAAAATGCGAACTTCGAAAATAAATGAGTTTGTCCAGATATTGTATTTTAGCGTATTATCCACCTTGAACAGAAAAGATAATACTGATAAAGTCGCGCACCTTCCTGTTGTGGCTAATGAAGCTGCAAACTGATTGCGCTATGAGCCCCGTGCTCGATTCACGCATATTGCACAAGTTTTTAACTATCCGCTATGTAAATCAATGATTTTGGCTATTTTTGCGATGATGTATGTATGTGTGTGCGCGCGCGCGGTGTGTCTGTGTCTGTGTGTGTGTGTGTGTGTGTGTGTGTGTGTTTTATTAGACCGAATTGACGTGGTTGATTTCGAGAAAAATTGTTTCGTGTATTTTTAAACTTCAAAAAGTAGTTTTCTTGGAATTATTCCGACACCTGATCTAATCAGCTCTTCTATTCAAAAAACGACGTCGATTGCAGTGAACCGCATCGAAATCGGATGATTCCCCCTGATAATAACTCTTTTTGTAAAATTTTTCTTTAATAAAACATGGACTCTACAATTTAAGTTGCCCGTACGGCTTTCTTTTGCAAAACAAATATGGCTCCAATGTCAGCCGCATTACCCCATAGCAAAATTCCATAAGACATTACGCTATGAAAGTAACAAAAATAAACTAATCTAGCTGTCTCAACATTGGTGAAACTTCTAATCTTTCTTACAGTATATGCTGCAGAACTAAGTCTGCTTTTTAATTTAGATATATTTGGGCTCCAATGAAGCTTCACGTCAATAGTAATAAAAAAAAAAAAAAAAAAAAAAAAAAAAAAAAAAAAAAAAAAAACAAAATACCAAGAAAACAGTGATATCCACAAGACTCAACTCCTCTACATTTAAGAGGACATTGGTATTGGTATTGCGGATGATGTGGCCCATAAACATCTACATCTATCAACGATTAAGAATCAAAACGTAGATGCGTTGCCAACCTTGAGGGTTAAGATAGAGTAGGGCTCGTTTTCAGTAAAAAAGGTATC